TGTAATTCAGTCTCACAAGGATCTTGATGTGACAGTGTGTCATGATCTTAAGGTCACGGCTTACTGCCGTGAGGTTGCGGTTAAGGGATATAGAAGCCTATGCACTTTAAGACGAACACTCACCAAGTTAGGTGCTACTATGTTTAATACAGCATACATAAACTTAGTGAGGACTAAACTTGAAACCTGCGCCCAGGTTGCAAGCCCCTATCTAAAAAGTGACTCAGATTTCCTGGAAAAAGTACAGAGACCAGCTTCTCGTGCAATTTGACAACTCCGAAGTTTATCATACAATGAGCAGCCTGAAAAGCTAGACTTCGTTGCTCTGTTCTACCGCAGACCAAGAGGTTGTAGCGTGGCGTCGAGTTGAGATTAACTATGAACACCGCTACAAAGAAACACGTGCCAAGTAAATCAGAAGGCGTAGGTTGAACGTAACCAAATAAATCCATAAAATCCCCGAGAAGCCAAATATCAGAAGACAGTTAATGGACCAAGTCGAGATATATATTTACTGGCGATCTCGTGGTATCGAAAGGATACCGAGATCGTGCCAGGATAGAAGCTTGGTTACAGAACGCAACCGAATTCGCGCGAAGTTACAATCAAAGTGTGTGTATAAGAATGGAAGCACAAAATAGCTGTCATTAGCACAGTCAAACAAAAGCACGTTAAAACAAACACTGGTACAGTTGGTTATAATAATAATTGTTTTTATTAAACCAGTCGTGTTCTCGTGATAAATGTGAGTCACTACAAGGTAATCTATTTTTGACATATAAAATAATAAGAAATGATTTCGGACCTAATATATCCTTTTTTCATCCTACCAGATCGGAAGAACTCAGAGGACATAGAAGGCGACTCAAAAAAGCCAAGAACGAGCGAGATACACGTGGCATACAGGTTTTCACACAGAATCATCAGCTCTTAAAATCTCTGATCCGAAGCAGTTATCCCCACACCTCCAACTTATTCATTCAAAAGAAGACCAGACAATCACGGAAGCATAATAGAAAAGGAACAACATAGGCCGTAAGCCTTCTGATCTTACTTCACAAATCTGAATCAAAAAAGGAGGAAGAGCATGGATTTGTGGTGTCACTGGTCCTAACTACATAATCGCCAAAGCTGAACATGAGATAACTGGGACAATTCGTATTCGACGAGTAACGCTGAGAGAGGGTCATCGATGAAGAAGGCGGGAACACTTAATTGATTTAATCGGATCGTATGGCTCAGCCTCACAAGCGTGGTTATTATGTATAACTTACCTCTCTCATCCATATTAAATATAATGTTCTACCTCCAGTCTAAATGTGTTCTTTAGAAATGCCAAACATTATATTGCTGATTGTTATGATACGACGAGTCGGAATAGACAATAATGTGACCTCTACGTAAGATCTTATAAATTAGGCATGTCACATCACGACGAATCTACAATTTAAGGACTAGGTCCATTATTATGGCAGTGCTGATACCGAAGTAGACCATAAATAAATTTGTACATTTGTAATATCCGAATGAGTATAAAAATCAAATTTTCTGACATTTCGTGACTCAGTGTGAGCTAATTCTGCAAAGAATAAGTAACGAAATCAAAATTAGCCCAGGTTTAAGGAAGTAGAACATAATTCTACAGATATACTGTAACCCCAAAATGAAAGTCTACTCACACTGTCTGCATTACTAATTATTTGAGTTATTTATTAACTTATTTCTTGAAACACTTGTCTTCTCTTAGTAATGGAATTACCACTTTATTATTTTCTAGTTCCATCTAACCAACCTTCTGCCTGGTAACGTGATAGCTGGTGGCATCCAGGATACCTACTACCCTGAGACAAACGTGCTCACCCAGATTACAACACATACAAATCGACGAATGAATATCACACTGACTAGAACTAGTGCAGTCGAGTGGCTAGACTACTGCCCACTGTACATAACCAGAGACCTGGAACTGTACCTAAACAACAAAGACTGTGATCAGGGATATCAATCGGTGTTTAAGAGCTTGTGATAGTGATGTTGGATATTAAAGCCTCTTTAGTTGAAATGAGGCTTAATGACAAATAAGGTTATTTGTAACAACGTGTGTTACCAAGTTGCATCGATGGCATATCTACACCGTTCATACAAAGCACACTGAAACGTCCTGACAAAAGGTTATGAATGTTCCGACTCCACATCTCAATATGTTAGGACACAATTTGTTCAGTCTGCCAACAAATGTAGATGGGTAGCCATTCAGGTTTATTTCACATGAGACTATTAAATCAATGACTGTCAAGTGAGGTAGACTAACAGAAAATTTCTGGAAGCGGCTTTTCGTATGTAATTATTTTTCAATACTCTCATAAAATTCGTTCTAGTCTTTTCTCGACGAGATATTATCCAACAACTTTGGTGTGCAATCCACACCACGTATTAGTCGTGTTTCATCTAACCTCTTACGGGGATCACTGCATGCATTTATTTTTAACAAAATTTAAGGCACATATATTGATGAAATCTCCATATTTGTTAGTATTTTAATTAGCGACCTTTTAATGTATACTTTTTATTTACTTAGTGAATCACGTCAACCTGATCGTCAATGGGTGTACTTTTCTTGATTGGAAATCATGGATATTTTGTGGTAATATTTTCTACTTCTCTTTTACACTGGTCTATTAATAGAACTAATGCTAATATTGTAAATTTGTCATGATTTAACGTACCTAGTCTGCAAGATCTTACATGAAAGTTTCATCATTGTTTACACTGCGTTGTGCTTACCGGGATCACCACCAATACATGATAGAGAAGACATTTATTCAGGAGATAGAACAATATGTTTAATATGAATAGAGATAAGTTACACAAGGATGACCACGCCTGCATGTTCAAGCCATGACATTCGATTAATTAAATTGATATTCCCGCTTGAATAGTTATCCATTTCTTCCTGTCAGTTATTGAATATAAGTCTTTTCGGTAATTGCTTGGTTTCAAAGATCGTGTGGCTAGGGTCCAATGCCACTACCTATTGATGTCTCATTCTACCAGGAGATGTTTTAGGAGAGAGATATGAATGGAGTGGACGGTCAGCATCTGGTAAGATAACACTTGCCAGGAGTTTGCAAGATTTTAGATATCTATCCACAACCATATTAATGATGATCTCAAAAGATTCCTCATACCCTGCAAACTGCCTTCAGCACTCTGGGCAACAAAGTCTTTTCTCAAAAGTCCAGAAGAGAATGATGCGAAGAGGTTAATTTCCCTTATATCTGACTCCAATAAATATTATCCCGATAACTGAGTATTTAACACAGGTTAAATCTTTTATTAAAATTATGGACTTACTCGCAATTATTAAAACACCAGTTATAGAGATAGTTTATTGTTAAAGATGAGTAGAATCTATATGCGTGCAGATAGCAAGCTTACAGGGAAACGAATGTGTGTGTGTGTTAAAAACCCATATATATAATAATTGGTTGTGGATAAATTATCGATCGTCTGTGTGTTTCAACCATCGGGAGAATAGGATAAAGATTTATGTGCAGACATGCGCTCAATCAGACTCATATCAAAGAGTATCCAATGGCACAAGCATTATGGGTTCCCAACATGTTGTTTGGGTGATGTTTATGTCCCAGGCTAAAGATAACAGTTTGACACAGACGGATTAGGTATGAGACCATTAAGAACAGACCACCATTCAATACGAGACAAAAAACCACTTATTTCTATGGAATTGAAGATGCCAAAGGTATTCGGAGTTTGACAACGCTTTAACCAACAACAACTTCTAATATGAAGCGCAGTCATCAAGTGAAATCAAAAGACAGAAGCGAGGATGTTCGAAGATATATTTGATAGGCTATCAATATATCGTGGATCGATTGATCTAATCCAGTTAGCGATTGCATGGGATGTTGAGTACGACTTTCCCACTCGTGATCTGTGCTGATGCATGACCGAGAGCCACCAGGTAGGTGACTCTGTAGAACTATGGTCTACTATGATATAAGTACCGCTCTAATAATAGACCTAATCCTAAAATTGTAGATTTGTCATGATATAACTGCCAAATCCATAAGACCTTGCTTGGAAGTCACATCATCGTCTACACCAACTCACTGTATCGTACCAACTACCAATACATGATGGAGAAAAAGCTAAGGCCAGAGATAGAACAATATATCTAATATGAGTAAAAGATATAGGGTAACATTCATCAGGGACCACGCCTGCATGGCCGAGACATTCCATTCGATCAACTCCAATTCATTCAATACATTCTTCCCGCCTTCTCCATCGTTAGGTATTTCTCCGCGTTAAATATTGAATATCTATTTTCCGAGTAGTCTCGTGTTCAGCTTTGAAGATTGTGTGGTTATGGTCCAATGCCACTACAAGTCCATCAAGACTAATATGGTCAGCATTGAATGTTGAAGACTTACAGAGCTATTTATTTTGGGGATTTATTTACCTCTACATGATGTAAAGAGGTAGAAATCAGAATACATAGAGTGAGACCGTCCGCATATTTCCCAGAAGTGTTTTATGTAGAAGATAGCAGATCATGCAGGAAAAGAGAAAAGGAGAGGTGAAAGAACAGCTCCTTGTGGCACACTTTCGTGAGACAGTAGAGACTTTGAACACTTTCTTACACATAAAGTGTACTGTTCTGTTTCAGACAGATACGAAGCAAAACCCTGACTAAATATCGACTGAATTAGGAAATTACAATATGGACATAACTATTTTGGTCTGTAGTTCTTTGCATAGGACAACAGCCTACGCTTGCGGCTTTCATGCAGATTTAATTTTTTTAATGTACCGTTGATTGTGCCGAAAAATTTAGTCACTTAACTTCGTCACCTGAATATTAAAGGATGAGGCTGATTTGCAGTGATTACTTTGATGGTGAAACACATTTGTGAAATGAGTGGTGTTATAAGCACTCAAATTCAATGTCCATGAGTAGGTGATATCGTGCGAGCACTCTTTAACTTATATGACTACCTTTTGTTAACCTTTATATCCATAAGAACAAAATAATGAAAGAAAGACGTTAGTCCCTGCCTATAGTTTATATCAATATAGGTCTAGTTTCATGGTGGGAGAGTAACTTGATTTGTTCGTATAATTTTTCAGCATGGCCAAGTATATTGCTAAAACATGTCGCAAATCTCGAAATCGTACCCATATCTTTGTAGTTTATGTTCACTTTATTTGAAATACAAATATTGCTAGCCTTTTTGGACAATGTAATACATGATACTAGATAAAGCACATTATTTGCTTTGGTATTTATGATGCTACGGGGAGAGCTGTTTCTAATCTTTTTAGTCAAGTGGAACGTTACTCACTCTGCCCGTTAGGAGAATACGATAAATAACCTATTTGATGTACTAGGCTTTAAGGAGTATATGTATAATACGTGGATTCGGAATTCATTGTGGCGAATAAACATAGATGGAAACTTTTTTGGATAGCTATTTATTGTGACCATGTCGACTGTTACATTAGATACAAATATCAAATTAAAAAATACTGGCAGCCTAGGACTTGTAAGTGTACGTCAGCGGTGGGTATTTAGATTTTGAACCACTTACATTCACCTTTTTGTATCTGTAAATTTACTGTCAGCATGTTTGTCTTTTAGCATTGCTGTACAAATCCTTTCAAATGAACAACTAACGTACAAACAATGCGCATCAAAGTCAGGTAGGTTGACCGCTTTCATATTTGCTACTCATTGACAGGGAAATTTATCGAAAATTCATAATTATTAGTTTCATTCTTTTCAGATGCTTCCCTACTACATCCTTCTTCTTGCCAATAACACGCTTCATGTGCCGCCAGATTTTGTTCTTTCTCTCAGTCCTCCTAGTAGTACTGTTGTTGGTGTTAATACTCAGCAAATTTTGGAGATATTCAGAATTTTCAGAATATGAGCATTCTAACGTTTTTTGGCTTTGGAAAGACGTAATTTTATCGCCAGCTGTATGTCCTACTTCATGTTTTCGTGGATATTTTTCGTTATTTGACAACCTAGCCTGTATAATTTGTCACAGTCATTTTGATTTTCTTGACTTATTGTTAAGTTTTCCGTTGTATAAGTGAAGTCATTTTGGTAAGACTTCTCGACGAAGTACCTAGGATGTATTGGTAATTTTTGAGTTACCTCAAAATTCTGGCGCTGCAGTTGTGCTTAAACTTTAGTCTATGTGCTACAATTTGGGCTCCTGATCGATATCTTAACTGTTGAATGTAATTGCCGTAGGTAACATCGGATACGGTTAGTATGCTGCTTGTTGTAAATATCTGTTTATTAACGGCTGTAAGCTAAGGTAAGAACTGTTAAAGTTCGTTTCAATGTCTTTATTTTCAACCATTTTAGTGTGGTGAATAGTAAAATAGATACATAGCTGAAACAGAACTACTCAAACAATGCAAATCATTCATTCTCAACGTAGAACCTGTACATCGGTTCAAGTTGCCATGCCACACTAGCACAAATATGTCAGACCAAATCAATGAATAAGTTATTAAAAGTATAATAAGAATGATTAAGCATCGAAGATATGATTTGAGGATAGAATATAAATTAGTGAATCAAAAACAGAAAATGGTATGAGAAATTTAAAATCTCAGATTTTGGAGGAAGATAAACAATAAGTTCATATGCGCCATTGCAAACAGTTTTGAGCCATGTCATCCAAAGTCTCTAACTATTGGTTGCGATAATCACATGGGCCCCAATCAGGTAACCTATACCTATTAACATGACGGTTCAATTGTCATCGACCTCATGGACTGATGCTACATTTTGGTTTGACCTATCCTAGCTCTTCTCCAGTCCGCTCCTGCACCAGAATACATTGCCCATCGACGTAGGCGGTAGTCGGGCATACTTGATATATACTATGTTGGTCAAACAGATTATGTTGGCTAAAATAATACCGTTTTTCTGAAAAATAGTCATGTGTTACAATACTCCCATCCACACGTTTCTGCGATTTTTAATGCTGATTTAAACTGTCACAAAATCATTATGGATTTACTTAGCGTACTTAGTTGTTTGAATAACTAATATTGGTTTTTCATTTTCTTATTATAGTTGAAATATTGTGCGAAATGACCATTACCTAAAACTGCCAAGCTTCCTTCGTACTTTGAGAATGTCTGACTGTGTAGTAATGTTTAGTCATTGGTGTGTTTGCTTTCAGCCCATTCAGACTCATTTAATTTTAATCTTTTGCAGGATTCTTTATGGCTAGAACCAGTTCATTTGCAGTATCCTAAAAATATACGTTTTGTCATAAACAAATCATTAGAAACTTCAGGTCCGTTGTCTCATTTATTACCACTCAGTTCAATTCCAAATCTACGACAATATATTTCAAATATTAATAAGGTGCAATACGTAAAAAACGAAGACCTGTATGGTCAACTACCAACAAGAGATAATTTCAACTCTACAAGATCCTCTCCTCAACATGTTATGATAATACAAGTAGGCTAATAAGTGATTTATATTTAATAAAAGTTTTTTATTTCATACGTAACAAATGCAATCGAATCAATGTTTTCATAATGATACTCTCAAGTAAAAAAAAAACCGAGATTGATATGTTTCTCACCTTAAAATTTAATTTGTAGTTTGATTTGATAGCAATGGTTTGCAAACCAAGCATTATTTTGTGGGTCTTGCGTCCTCTGAGCTGAACGGTTTTGTTGACCTTGCTGCTTAATACAAAAAAAAACAGTCAGCTGAAAAGACAGAGTTCTAACCATGAGAGAAGACAGTCATAATAAATGTGTGATTAGTGATAGCACAATTATGGAAGGCATCTAATCAAATTTCTTGTTGGCTAAACGAGCTGTCGATTAATTATAAATAGTGCCCTGGTACGGCCGAGGGTGGGGAGGGCCCACTCTCCCTCTCGAAATGCTCTCTCATGGCTACGCATATACAGCCATTACCAGAGAAGTCCTATTCACTTTACTTCTCGTGGCGGGGGTGTTTTTTACGAAATTGAGAGGACAAAAAGCGAATGTTCGGCGCTTTAACCGGGTCGGTGAACACGGGGGGTCCACTTTTTCTTATAAGCACCCTACATCATCTATCTCTTCACATTCTCATTGTTATTGTGTTGCGCGTATGTATTTGATGCCCCTTTATACTAATATGTGTTCAAATAAATAAATAAATAAATAATAAACTCATTTTTAAGTTATGTATTGTTGGTGTTATTTGAAAAGGCAATAAAAGCTCCATGATTAGACCGTTCAGTTTCGTGAGCACAACACGAAGACAGTTTAAATATAGTGGTTTTTAATTAGAAAACGCTTGCTCAGAGTGGTCAGATGACTTGTTTATATATATGATGAGATCATGCTCAATAGTTGCTAAACACTACCATATATATACTAGTCTGCAGTAGAGATTTCAGCATTCGGCTGTTCAAACAACCACCAGTTGCTTATGTAACAGAGATGCAGTGTTTCTTTGCTGGGCTTTCACAATAAATAAGTTATAGAAATTTAAACGAATAATTGAGTAGTATTATTACTAGCCATCACACCCACAAACAGTGTGTTTGTAGGCCTCCACACCAATTTCTATTCAGTAAGCTAGTTGCATTAAATGAGATAGTATTTAAATAAAAAACAATAATTGAATAAATGTTTTAAAAATTCAGATGGTTTGATCGTCATATTCTGACATATATGTGACGATGATATAATTACTCGTAATTCATGTCAGTATAATCTAGGTACGAATGTCTTATTAATTGGCATTTTTCTGTTGAAAGAAACAAGGATTCTGAGTTCAGATAAGTTCATAGGCATAGTCAATCATAAATGCTGTTTTTTAAACTGGTTAAGACCGACTTATCTTACTAAAGAGGAGTACTGTGGATTTATTTCTTCTTGGATTAACAGTAGACTAGTTATGTTTGCAGACACCGAGGTCAGTTGTTTCTTAGCAAGCGCAGCACTGTTTTTAGTTTGTCCTCAGTTTATTTTTAGGTTTAGTTGTCACATCACTTTATGAAGTAACCTTGTTTCTTCAACCCTGTACGAGATTTATATCACTGATTTACAGGTATGCTGGATAACATTTTTCAGAAAGCATTGTTCAATAAACGGCACTTTAAAGTTTCAAATAATTTCCACGAGACTTTAATACTGAAAGGACTTAAATCAAGCTCATTTCAGCATCAGCAATCGATCATATGTTATTGCGTTACTTATGTTATTTATTCCATTTGGAAGCTCAGTTTACTCTCTCGGTCATACATAATTTTATCTTTGTTCGGTAAACTTGTACCAGTGCTGAAATTGAAATAGCTATTGTCAAGTTAACTTTCAAATATTTTAGAATATCCATTAACTAAACTTACTCTTTTCAAGTCCTGTTTTCATAGACTGTGATTAGAATTGATAAAAAATGATTATATTTGGCTTATTGTGATCCAACCAATGCTTCCATCATCATTCAATCAAATCAGTGTGGCTTCTAATTATCTGATGTTTTCTGTTCAGGTTCATAATAGATCTATAGAGTTAAGTCTGTTAATTGAATCGTTACGACGTACAAAAGGAATCGAAACAGCCCTTATTATTTTTTCACATGATTTCTATTCTGATGAATTGAACAATCTTATCGGATCTATTCGCTTCACTCGTACTGTTCAAATTTTTTATCCCCATTCAATGCAACTATTTCCAAACACCTTTCCTGGTACTGATCCAAGAGATTGTAATAGTAGAATAAAACCCACTGAGTAAGTCAATTCGTTTATACTTTAGATTTTATCCTTCCAATTATCCATGATTTTGACCATTGTAAAGCCCTGCAGATGAAGTCACTGAAAACAGAACTATCCTTGTTCTTTTTATCTAGTCAATAACAATAATAATAGCGTTCAAGGTCTCCCGGAACATCGAATGTTTTTCTTAATCAGTCATTTACGAAATGCAGATTGATGTAATCGGCTTTAAGCCATACACACACACCATTTTTATGCGTCCTAGTGATACCGGCTGACTTTAAACGGAAATGCTGTGTAACTCCCGAACTGCCACTACTTAAGTTTTTCATGAGAAGTAACTGGATAACTCATCAAATGTTTTATTCGCCTTTATATCTGTGTTCTTTTCATAGTGAATGTTTATAGAGCAGAAATAACGGTCTGGGCACTATGACTAATTAATTTGATTGTGTTATACTCTTGTCAGCTACTTACAACCTATAATATTTTAAAGTTAAAATTGAACGTAAAAGTTAACATACTTATACAAGTAAAGTTGATTAGAAGTGAATATGTAATATCATCGTGCAGTGAATATTCAAATACAGTTAATGACCAAAGAAAGAAACTAATTATGTGATTAGACGAAATAAAGACTGTTCAGTGAAGAATGTTATTTACTAAGGCCGTACAAAAAAACCTTTTCTCAAACACCTATCTTATTTCAACTGCATCATTCTCGATTCTTTCGAATTTGTAACTTGACTATTGACTGGCTTATCTCAACTCACGTTTTTTTTTATTTCCATTGAAATGTGTTCAGCTACCTGATTACTTAATCAACTAACATTTGATCTGTGTAATATTTAGTTACCGTTTCAATACTCGAATATTTCTTTTATTTAAGTTATTCTTAATCTTACGAACTGTATTTAAATCTTTACTCCACCATGATGTTACATATTCACTTCCAATCAACTTCACTAGTATACGTATGTTAACTTCTGTACATAGTTTTAAATTAAAGAAAAACTAGATTGTTAAAGGGTGACAAGAACCGAATAGAATAAACTAAATTAATGTTACTATGATAGTTAGATGTATTCGAATTAACATGCTAACTAAGAATACCCTAAATAGTCCATTTTAAACGAGTGGAACTAGATTAACACAAACGAACGTATTATATTTCGAATTCGTAATAAGCGCGCAACCAAGTACATAGGAATCATTAATTTGTATAAATACTACAGTTACTCTTCTTAAGTCATTGTTCTTATGCTTTTCAAGATGATGAAAGAAACTGTGCATACGAGCCTTGTAAAGTAAACTAATATTTAGTTTATGTCATGCTCTGAATTCAACTAGAAACGGTCAAAACTAGGGAGAACTGAGTAGTCGCTTTGTTTTCGTGTGGAACAGATCAAACGTATTTTTCATTATGGTAGCAACAGAAAGGTGAAGGTTCGTGTTATTCTCTCTTACTGAATTAAAACAGGATTGGATTGATTAGATGTAAGCGGAAGCACCTCGAATAGTGTCGAAAACATGGTAGTTTAGGTGGATATTTTCAATGCTGTTGCATTATCTAAGCTGGCTGACCTTATTCAGAGCTCTCATTGTCTTTGTGGACAATATTTTTAACATCTGGTATATATATTTATATATATATATGCGTAATTTTGTCATTTATACTTTTTTCAGAGCTATGAATATAGAATGTTTAAATGCTCGTTGGCCAGACACATTTCAGCATTATCGTGAATCACATTTTACTCAAATTAAGCATCATTGGTTGTGGAAAGTAAGTCTTGCTGACTTTTGTATTGTTTTTTTCATTTGGGAACTTTGACAACACGAATTCATAGGGATTTCTGTCAAGTTTGGATAATTTCTCTTGATGTGACTTTCAGGAAACTCATACACATATGTACCCAATGCGTAGCGAAACAGTTGTTCATTCTATCCTGTATTCTGGTTTCTCGTTGAGTGACGTCGATACTGTTGAAAAATGTGAATTGATTCATGTTCTTCTCTTTTTTTTAGTAAGAATTATCCTCTTATTTATTAGCAGTTGGAAATTCATTCTTATTTAGTTCATTCAGTAGTTAGATGCATGCATTTTTATTATTTCACTTAGTTGCTATCTTTTCGTTGTTTACTACTTTTCGCAACAATAGAAACTAATCATGTACTGACTGCCGTATGTTACCTATACGTTTAAAGTTTTCATGTTTCTGATGTTTTTAAATCATTCAGAAATTCACAAAGGTGATTATTGCCACAGTTTTCTCTCTTCTTACAGTCTAATTCTAAGTTAATAACTATCAGGTTTCATGAAAAAGTTATGAAAATAGAAGCTAAAGGATATTGTTTAAAATCTTCTGGGGATTGTATAAGTTTATTATCTAAGATAACTTTAATAATTTCCATTATTAATTTGGTACATGTATTAGGTTTCATTATTGTGTCTATGTTTTAAATTTATTAGTAGACGATGCTGAGATTAGGCGTAAGGTACTATGCAAAAATGATAAAACTGTTAATAAGTTTTTGGATCTTCTCCAATTGAAGTGGTTGGGACACATATTACGTACACCCAACAACCGTCTACCTCAACCCCTCAATATTAAATAAGGTAAGAGTAGATCTGGAGAAAGATAGAGGTACCTAAACTAAAATGTATCATCGGTTGATGCAGTCATTGACTTTATCTGATACATGTCGGTTGGCGTAGGCTAGTTGATTGATGGGTCGATGTGATTATTGGGACTCTAATGGTTGGAGACATTAAATGAGATGGCTAAGATAAATTCATTCCTTGTATTTTATTAGACCCTGAGTTTTAAACTTATTTTTGTTTCACTACTTAATTTGTTCTTCTCGAATCATTTTCTCGATAATTTTTTTACTACCACTAATACTACCTCTTTAATGTTTATCTTAATAATTTCAGCTCGGTGTAATAATGTGTAGTGTCAACACAAACCAATGCACCTATGTACCAGGTTCTACATAAAACGACTAGCTGACTCTTTAACTTCTTAAAGTAGTGATTTCATTTCTTGTGTACTAGACTTTTAAATATAGAGTCCTAACCTAATTGTTGTTTCACCTAATTCTTTATTTTCAGCAGATTAATGTTATGAGTCTCTATAACAGTCATAATTCAATGTTACAAACACCAAAATTGATTGTTACAATGTACCATTTAGTTGCTAGTTACCTTGGAGTTTCCTTAATATTTCCCCTCACTCTATTTTCTTCAGTTTATTGTTGTTATCCGATATGATGATAACATATGGTCGTATACTGAGCCTAATTAAAAACGCATTCCAAATCATTTACGTCTGAAGATAAAGTTAAGCAAATTAAAATAGAACTTAGGGTAGTAGGCGAAACTTTGAAAGCAAGCAGAAAATATTTCTCGCTTCAAAACACTTCTGCATCGAACTTCTCCAGTTTTTCTAAAAACTGCTGTAAATCAATCAGAAAATTTCACAGCATATATATATATAACAAATGTTTTATTCATTACAGGGTGTTTATTTTCATTATTGTATCATCTGGGATTATTATCAATCAGATTAATCTGACAAAATTATATAAATATATTAATTTTATTTATAACAATCTATCCAATGCTCAATTTATTCGGAACTATCAAGTCAAACCTTGGTAATGATACCTGACAAAACTGTACTTTTTCCGACGCTAGTCTGCTTTTTTTTCTTCCAGTAAACTTAGACTCAGATGATGGAAAATATTTGTGGCTGAGGTTAAAGATTTTAGAGGTATAGAAGTAAGTTGGAAGAAATCTGTGGATGGATAAATCAAGACATGATACTGATTTATGTAATCATTGATTATGAGTCTGAGAAACGTTGGCAGATGCCGACTTTTTGATTTGATTCCGCGCGATCACCTCAGTCAGTATCTGGAGGCTTTCGGTGACATGGGTCAGAATCGTTCACAATGGCGTAGATTCACTCGCTCGTTATCTTCTCTATCTTGATTTCCAGTATTTCTCCATATTTTTCCACTCCGTCTTTTCGATATATATTGTATCTATTTATTCTTCCTCGTCATAATTGCTACCATATTATTTTTATCTCTTGTACTATTCGTTTTGTGATTTTCACCTCGTCGTTCTATAGCGGTATAGTGGCTTGGGGAAACACATCTGTGCCAGTCTCAGCGTTACTGAGACTGACTGACTGTCTGAAGTTTTCATTGTTTCTTAAACAACATCTTCAATACTTGATTTAAAGAGTGATGTAACAAAGATTTCTTCACAATTCACTAACTACTCATTCTACCAAAAATAAGATTTGATTTGTTGTTCACAATACTGAAAACTTTATTGTTATAATCATTATATATTAGGTACTGAATTGTTAAAAAGTTGATTAACCCAATCGGTTTCTGATGGAAAGATTCTAAACAAAATGCTTCATGAAAAATTTCAGTCAAATAAACTTAAATTAGCTACTAATTATAGCTGATCTATTTAATAGGTTGTTCATGGTTATTTATTAATCAGAAACTGAATACAAAATGTTCAGAAGATAAAAGTAGGCTCTCACGCGTAAAAAACTTTCATTAACCTAATGTCTTGTCAAAGTCATTATAAGATTACGGTTCTCTATTTTCTAAAGAAAGAAACCAAGAAGTTTAGAAAAAATAAGGTAACCGGACTTAATTTGTGATGAGGACATTGGTTACTATGGTAATAGGAAAAATTGGATACTGTTTTAGCCTTGTTTTTCCTCCAATATTCATTTCATATTTTACTAATAATAACAATGGTATGTGTTAGAAAAGTGTATAAATTCCAAAACTAAGATATTAGGATTTTTGATGTAACTAGTGTATTATATATATATATATATTCTCAGCACCAAAACTCTCAAGAATTTCATAAGATATGAAAAGCTATTTATGGAAATAGCAACTTGATTAAATTAATTCTTTTCAAACGCATTAAGGTTTTCAGTATGAGTTATGAATACTTCAAAGTCAAGGTAATGTTCAATTTTTTTTAAGGGATCGAACATCTGTGGTCTTTTACGCTTTGAAGTTAAAATCTAATACTCAATGACTGACAGTGATTCTTCAGTTACCACCAATCTCTAATGAAAACTATATTCACATTAAGCCAATCATTACAACATAATCATCTAAATAATAGTTACTGTTGTAGGTATCATTACCAAGGTTTGACTTGATAATTTTGAATAAATTGAGCATTGGATAGATTGTTATAAATTAACGAATATATTTGTAATATCCCAGTGAGTAGAAAAATTAATTTTTCTGACGTTTCGTGACTTAGTGTAAGCCATTTCTTCAGAGAATAAATAACCAAATAAAAATTAATCCAAGTTTAAATCGTACAATGGAACAACAAGAATATTATGAAGTAGCTTACACTGAGTCACATAACTTCAGGAAATTTAATTTTTCTACTCATTAGGATATTAAAAATATATTAATTAATACTTACTATTGTTGGTGGTAGAACAATTTGTTTAGTGGTTAAGGCGTTCAACCAATTAGGTTGGTAGGTGTTCCTGTCTAGTTTCACCTACTTCAATTTGATCAGCCAAATAGTATCATTGATCCTTATATTACATAAAATGTAACTCAGAATCCTGAGTACATGAATCTGTGTTTGGTTGATACGTTACTGAGATTATTGTCCAATCAATAATTATTTCCAAAACTTTTTGTTTTTATTAACTTAGTGACAAAATAGTAGTATTTTATTGTCTTCAACATTATTTTAAATGTTTAGATGTGTACATATTTAATCATTCTAATGGTCAACCATTATAATATCTATTAATGAACTCATTATTGATTATATGATTTAATGTAATTCATAGCTAATTTTTGTTTTAAAAAAAACCCTGTATGTTTATTACATTTTTAATGCATATGTTTGTTTCTTTGCTTGTTTTTTGTTTTAAAAAATATACTTTAGATTGAATTCGTAATGAATCATTTTTATCCAACAAAATATTATAAGGGTTACTTCATCTTATTAGAAGAAGATCATTTTGTTGTAGAAGATATTTTATATATGTCGGAATTTATTAGTAAAAATGTTTGGAGGTATGTTTTAAATATTATTACAAGTGAATATATTTATATAATCTGACTGGTCTAAATCGCTGATCATCGTAAGAAGAGAAAAAGTCCTATCGTATCAATCACAAACACATCAATTTGACCAATACAGTTTTTAAAATATTAACTTCAATAACACGTCAACGCTTAACGAGAGCTTGTAAACAGTAAAATAGAAAAAAAATACTTAGGCTGTTTTCAGACCTGAACGTGGATCTAGAGACTAAATATTCAGTCTTCGATAGGTCCTGGACTTAGATATATTTTTTGACGTCCGACAATAGTTGTCTTTCTTGATCTTAAGATAGCATTCGACTCTGTTGATCGTAAGGTTCTATATCATTGTCTGTCTCTAAGAGGCTTACTAAAGAAGTACATCAACCATGTACAGGATCTCTACTCGAACACTAGTTGTCTAGTCAGAGCCACCTTTGGAATCGATAACTTCATGTGGTATTCGTCAGGGTTGTCTACTTTCGTCATTTTTTAAAAAGTTTGTCATAAAAAAGTTTTTAGTGATAACTGATACGATATTCAAGTCTTTATTAGTTGTAGAATGAGCGACCTATAAGTTAATTTCCTCCAATCGCCTAAGACATTATGTTTATTCTGTGTTCATGCTTTGTATATAAGTATGTCATTTTATTACCTGAAAAATTATTCATCTGGTTTGTGGTCTTGTCTTTGACTTCCGATTACTCAAGGGCCTTAGTCAATTATACGGTCTCGTGAGTAGCCACCTCTTGGTTCCATTGTATCATATGGTTTATCTGTCAATTAGCATTCTATTCATCGATTTTGACAACCAAAATTTCTGTTGTTGACTTGCAGTACGCAGATGATATAGTTCTTTTTGATGAAGACACTGACAAAACGCAGTCTTTTTACAACCGTAAGCAACAATGTCAGCTTGTTTGGAACGTAATTCCCTTCATTGAAATGCATTGTGTTTCTTTGGCACTGACTTGCATCAGGGCCCGAATTGTTGATAGAGAGTGAATTAGTTGAGTCTACCGATTGCTTCACTTATATTGGGAGTCTTATCAGTCCTGATAGGCTCGTGTCTGGTGAAATGTTGAAACAGATTTGTAAAGCCCGATCTCTGTTTATTGAACTGTCACTGGTAGCGTATTCGACATATCCTTTTACCAACCAAAGGACGCGTTTACTGCTCAGCACTTCACTCTGTCCTACTTTATGGGTGTGAAATGCGGTCATTAAGGATAGAAGACATTCACAGGTTAATAGTATTCGACTGTAAGTATCTTCGAAGGATTGCTCATGTGTTTTTGGACCATCGAATAAGTGATGCCGAAGTTAGGAATAGAATATTAGGTAAAGATGGCAAGTCAGTTGATGCGGTAATCTTTATCAACTGAGGTGGTTAGGCTATGTGGTTGCGTATGCCTAACTATTGGCTACCTCAACGGGCGATGTTGTTTTACCATAGAAGTAGGTTAGAAGAAAACTAGGAGCGGTAAAACCGAGACGTTGCACCAGTTCATCAACTTATCGACAGTTGGACTGAGCCAATATGTAGGTATAAGCTACCTGATTGGGTTCCATGTTATTATTGTAACCAATGGTTAGAGACTAGGCGACATGCTTCAAAATCGTTTGCAAGAGTGCAAGTGCATTCACTTCTTGTCTTCCTCTAGAACCTGAGTCTCAAAATCTTTCTTTTACCTTTTGTTATGATTTTCTCTTATTACAACCCAGCTATTCCTATTGCTTAGTATTCTCGGACACCAATTCACACGACAAGTCCCCAAATCAGAACACGGTTGAGCAGGAAAGAGATTATATTCCAAATAACAAGGTTAGATGGAAGTAAGAAGCACAATAGGGAAAACGTTAGTATATTTATAGTTTTTACATGAGATTTCTAGAGTGTTCTCCAAGTACCGACTAGCGCGGATTGGGTAAGAATTAGCCAATCAGCGTGCACCAAATCAATCGTGCATTGAGCATGCTTAAATCCAACCTATGTCCCGCTAACACCTTTCTTTTTCATGTCTGATCTTTTACTACTTCTACTTCTGTGGAATTTGTTTTGAAGTAATTTCATCTCGTCTTAATGTGATATGACAACTTGAAGTGAAGCACATGTGTCAGGCTCTACATTGCATATAATGATGACGATGAGTGACTATTCTTCACTAATTACGTAACACTCCACTGTGTATGCAGGTGAAACGAAGACAGTACATATTTTCGCGCGAACTCAAATATACACTTCAAAAAATTTATGCAAATTACAACAAGAGCAACCTTATCATTTCTTTGGTGATGGGTTCATATTTTGGTTAGTTTATTGTAAAAAGAAGATTAAATTATAGTTTTTAATGTTCTCTTTTTCAACGGTTCTCTTATAGAATTTATTGTATTTAATGTTTACAGAGTCTTTCGGAATGAAATCTTATCTGATATATATATTTGATCGTTGAAGTTAAACGATAAAAATATTAACTAGGCATAGTTTTCATATTTTCTGATCGTATTGCAAACTTAACTGCTTCATTTTATTTTATACTAATAAATGCCTATTGTTTAGAAAACTTAAAATAAGGAAGGAATTAATTATCATTATGAAAGTAAAATAAAATTCCCATTTTTTCAAGTATGGTTCAAAACACTAACTGTAAATTAAACAAGTCACTAGAAAAACCTTTCAACTAAAACCATAATATTAATTGAAGTCGTGAACCGACCTATGTTAAACAATTATTGAAGACCTGGAGGCTCTGGATGACCGCTTTTTCCTGCTGTGTTCACCCTGAGCAATGCACATCCGTGACCATACAGACGGGAACCGAACTCAGGGCCTTCGAACCCTTAACCTCTAGACCACTGAGCTAAGATCCATTGGTATACAAGCCCAACTTCAATCAATTCACGATATTGCGTGACCATCTTCTATGGTGTTCGGTGAGTTCCTTCTTCAAGCCCGACACACTTTAGCTCCACTTCCCAAGGATTTTCGTTTGAGGCTGAAAGTCCTGGGTTTGGTCCTTGATGGCGCGGTTGTGGATATGCACTGCTAAGGAGCCTCGTATTAGGATGAAACGACCGTTCTGTGCTTTCGGTTTTTCAGCGATTGTCTAACTTATTTCGGCTCGTGGTTCCAGTGAAATCCAACAACCTCCACAATCCTATACTGCGAAGACTATGACCAACTCCTTAGTGACTTCATGGCGTTCTCGGGATTCTTCTGGTGAGAAATTTTGACGAGTAGAGTTCAGACAAGTCGGTAGCGAAACATTTGTCACTAATAACATTCAATGGTCGTTGCACAAATTGGTTGCATTTGGGATTGTACCGTCGGACTCTAATCCAGTAGTTCTAGTGATTTCGACGTTCAGTGTGGAACCCGAAGGTCCTAGGGTTGTACCTGCACACTACTGAATAGTTCCATATTAATACCAAACAGCTATTAAATTCTCCATACTTCTCAATGATACATTAAATGTAATCAATCTGAGATGAATACTACGTACAAATTTAAATCAGTCTTCACAAAAGCTCTTCAAATAGGTTAGAGGTTTCTCTTCGTTTTAATCATCAGACTTTGCTCTCTCTCTCTCTACCAGTGAAATATATATATATATATATATATATACTTTATTAATGTAGAGATATGAGTATCCTAATGTTATTAACCAACACGATACTCATTGTTCTCTGGGATTGGAAATAATATAATCTGAATTAATTGATTGCTATCATTCATTTATGATGTATTGATCAACTTTACAGTTATTAAGTACATGAACGTGCACTCTGTCCTTGTGTAATGGATGAGATTTGGCTGTGGACAGACAATTTATTGTTTAATACAAAATTACAGAATATCTTGAAAAAATATGAGAACCATACATTAAATACTTCATTTGCAAATCTTCCATCAACTGTCCATATTCTGTATGATTCTTCCAATTCACAATTCCTTTCTGTTTTCGTCACCCTCGATCTTCTTAGCCCTCTGCTGCCAGGTTTTCCAATTCTAGTTGGTATTATGTGCTACTTATTTCTGTCAACATAAGTCCGTCGGCGCGCTGCCCTCCGTAGCAATGTCGAGTCGCCGGGCAATCTAAACCTGATATCCGCCCAGCACCCGGGACGTCTAACATCTGCGCCCCAGCGACCCACTGAGCCGTCTACATCCGATTTCCTCCCAACAGCCACACGTCCCATTGCTCCTCTGCAATGACAGCCAACACCACCACCCCCGAACACTCGACGCCACCTTTCCGCACCAGACAGCCCCAACTAGTGCCTTCTCTCCAGGCCCGACGACGACGTCCACAGAACTGCAACCTCTCCGCCTCCTGGTTGTCAGGGGCATCAATGAACGAACACTCATGTGGGGACAACCAATTTGTTATTTAATGCAAAATTACAGAGTTCTTTCGTAAAATGTGAAAACCATACATTCAATACTTTATTTGCAAATCCTCCATCCGTTGTCTCAAACTTCATCGTTCCTTCATTGCTATTACAATTACTCTGTTCCCGTTCTCTTGGATTCTATCTTCCCAACCTCCTGCTGCCAGGCATTCCACTTCTGATTGGTGTTATATACTACCTATGTCCACAGACATAAGTAGCATACATCACACTTGCTTTAATTTTCAGGAATAAAATGGACGTATGTAACTAAAAAAAATTTACTGTACATAAACCTTATTGTCAAATAAATAATATTCATTCGAAACAATAAACACTAACATAATATCATATGGTCTGTTTTATTCCCACTTTGTTTGTACTCATTCACCAGCTACTTAGATACAAACCACATTGTAATTATGAGGGCAAATGGTCCTACTTGATAACATAGACTGAAGTTAATGGAGTAAGGTTCGAAGTTAGGACTTATTGGCTGATAACTGACCACTTTAACTATGATGCCATCGTTCCACATTCTCATGTGTTTTTCTGTCTGATATACTTATTCGTCATTATTAAATATTTTTGTCAAGCTTATGTACGTTATTTATGTTATTATATTCAATAGACAGAATTGTCTGTAAAATGATTGATCATATTTTATTGTGTTTATTTCTATTACAAAGTCCTTTAAAAACTGATGGGATTATTGCCTTTGGATCATACGATAAAAATAACATGTATTTATCCAATGTGGTAAGTAAGGTATCTATTTCGATGTTTTATTTCCTTTTCTTTTAAATAACCATCTAATTTGATAAGCTGATTTTTTCTGGCAATAATATTAATAAGTTTTTTTACTTTTATTCTTGGAATAGACCCCTAATGTTCTGTGTTGTCTTTGTATGAGACGAAGGGATCAGTAGTATCGAAAAGATTAGACATAAGCTACGTGATTCGAGAATAATGACAAATTTACAGATTACAGGGAATAGAATAATTTTAAAATTAAAAAAAGCAGAATGAATGCATCTATACCATTACACCTAATTGTAAGCCATGTCACTCAATGTCTGTAACCACTGGTCACGACAGTTGTGTTGGTACTAACTGGGTAGCTTGCACTTACTAACATGGCTCAGATCACCATTCAGTGGATTCATCAACTGATAGTTTGGCCGCTCCTAGCTTTCTTTCAATTTACTTCTACATTAGCCAGCACTGCGCGCAAAATTATGTGGTGGTTGATTAACAGTTACGTACTTAGTTATCCAAGTTACCTCTCATGGAGCATAGGCCACTGATCAAGTCTCTCGCCTACTCTGTTCTGGGTTCTGTATTTTAGTTGTTCTCAAGTAATATTCGTCCTTTTGATATCCGCCTCTGATTCTCCGCTCAATGTATTCTTTTGTCTATCTTTCCCTTTAGTCTTGATAATTCCAAATTAAGCCTTGTGTTGTGATGCGCTTTGATGAATTATCCACCTCCAGCATCGTTTCTTAGTTTCTTACTCAGTTGGAAGCTTGTTTATTCCCTGTCAGAGTAGTTTACTTCTGATTGTCTGACTAACTGATCTGGAGTACTTTTTTGTGGACAACTATTTATAAATACCTGTCCTTTTCTATGATGTCTGTAGTGGTTCTCCACATCTTAGCACCGTACACTCGTACTGTCATGACGTTTGTATTGAAAGTTCTGACTTTGATGTTGAATGACCGGTGTTTTGATTTCCAGATGTTTTTCAATCATAGGAATTGTTCTTTTGCTTTTCCAATCTGTACTTTCACATCTGCATCTGATTTCCCTATTTTGTCAAGAACGCTGCTTAGCTACGTAAAACTTTACACTTCTTTCAGAATTTCCCCATCAACAGTGATCTGGTTGGTGCTGTCTGTGCTTTATTTTAGTACCTTTTTTCCGTTGTGAATGTGTAGGTTTACTGTTGCACAGGCTTCTGCTGAACTGGGTATCATAATCTCGTGCACTGTTTGTTGTGTGTGGGATACAAGGGCTAGGTCGTTTGCGAAGTCCATATCCTCTAGCTGCATCCAAGCTGTCCATTGTATTCCGTGCTTCCCCTGAGATATAGAGGTCTTCATAATCCAGTCAGCCACCAGAAGAAAGGGAAAGAGTGAGAGTAGGCAGGCTTATCCTACACTTGGAATGCATATGTATTGCTGTCTTACATTCACGACTTTGCAGTGTAGTCCATCATAAGAATTCCGTATGATATTGACAGTTTTCTCGGATACCCCATAGTGTCGAAGAAGGTCCCATAAGGCCTTTCTATCCACGTTGCCAAATGCTTTCCCATAGTTAAGAGAATTGATGTTTGGTGACGATTTTCACTCAAATGACTGCTCAATAATCAACTAAATTGTAGCGATTTGGCCTGAACATGATCGGTTCTTATGAATCCCAGTCAGTTGGTCTCGAAGTTGGGTGTCTACTAAATCTTTCATTTGGTTTGGCGACACTGTTGAAAACTGCCTGATTCTGATAGTAGTGTGATATCTATTTAGTCCTTACATTTACTAAGATCTTTCTTTGGTATCTTGGTGACTTATCTCTCCTTCCAGTCTGTCAGTACTTATTCTTCCTCCCAAATCTTCCTGTATAGAACGTGCAGCATCTTTGCAGTTACTTCTACGTCTGACTTCAGTACTTCAGCTAGCATATTTTCAGCTCATGTTGCTTCCCCACTCTTGATTTGTCTGAATGCCTGTAGGTGGTACATCAATGTCTAGTGGATTCAATGAATATGATCTAGTTAAGAGTTCCTCAAATTGTTCTGCCTATCTATTCCTCTGTCCTAGAATCTCAGTGACTGGTTTTCAACCCCTGTATTTGACTGATCTCTCTAGTTTATTATTTTTCCCTGCCAGTTTCTTCGTTGTGTCATATAGTTGTTTCATATTTCCTTCTATTGTAGCTTTTTTCACTATCGTTGCTAGGCCTTCGATCTATTTCAACTTGTCAGCTCTAATGCTCTTCTTCACATGCTTGTTTACTTCTATCTATTCAGCTTGTGCCTTGACTTCCTCTGTTGTTGTTCGGCTTTTGTTAGTTGCCGTTTTCTTGTTCTTCGTTTCTTGAATCATTCTCATGTTTTGAATAGAGATATATCCCCTATGATGATGCTTCTTGCGGCCCCACACCTGGCGTGTTGAACTTAGTGCTTCTTCAGTCCATTCCCAGTTGTTCTTCGTAGTAGTTTCCTATTCTTTGAGTAAATCTTGTGAGGCTTGGAACTAGCAGATGGTGATTTGAAATTACATCAGCTTCTATCTTTGCTCTCATTGTCTTTCGTTGACCTTCTGAACTTTTTATTGATGTGAATGTGATCGATCTAGTTCTCTGTAGTGTGTCCTGATGGAACCCTTGTAGCTTTTTGTATGCGTTTGTGGGTGAGCACAGTGCTATCTATAACCATTTTGTTGAAGGCACATGAATTTCCAAATCTCTTGCCATTCCCGTTCCTTTCTCCCAGTCCATGTCGTCCGACGATATCTTCATACCTATTGTTGTCCATTTCGACTTTGGCGTTTAGGTTTCCGATCAGGTTGGTCAGTTTCTTTCCCGGGTGTTTCTCTACGATCGACTGCAGCCTCACAAAACTGATCTTTATCGTCTTCGTTGCTATCATGAGTGGGCACAAAGCACTGGATGACATTCGTGTGTGCGCGATATTTTATTCTTCATAACCAGAGTACAATAGCACCTTTCCCGAAGCTAATCTGTTCTGTCCAGCTTGCGTCCTATGAATTTCACTTATTCCAAGCCCCGCCAAGGTGCATCTCATTTCCGTAGCTATTTGAATGGTCCTCCACTTTATGCAAACATTCCATATACGCATATTAATTGTTGCTCTGGTTGTTAGAAGGAGCATTAGCTTCGTAATTTCCAAAACAACCTTCGGCTTTCATCATTAGGTATCATAACTCTTAAATGAAGATCTTTCAACTCTCAGGGCATTGTTTAAATGCTTGAAATAATGTTTTTCTGCTTAGCATTCAAGCAACGTTTTTGCTGACTCTATGCCCGACCCTCCTCTTTTATCCTAACTTGGGATCGGTAGTAACCCTAGAATGGCCTCAAGTGGAGTTTCAGTAGCAGTTACGATAAGTTTATTGTCCAAATTAAACATTTTATTATCCCTAAAACATTATCACTTCACAATGGTTTACAAAATCTATACCAAATATTAGGAAAATGGGATATATATAAGTATAAGCGATCACTTATATGTACACTGTTGACTGTAGTATTCACACTTGACTGTACTGTGTGTACTAACGGAGATAAGGGTAACATTTATAATCACTTGAACTAACGGTATGGATATCAGCTTTTAACTAGTCTATTTGTTTCAGTATTCTTTGGTTGCATATAGGTCAGATATTAAATTAGTTTGTATTAATACTAGAATTCACTAAATCGTTAGCCACTCTATTTCTTTACAAATCTGTTCATGAATGTAATTAATGCCATGAATTCTCTCCACGCTTTTCATAGTAGTTGTAAACTTGCGACCATTTTCTCAATGATCGTGTTATTTTTTAACGTTTACTATACACTTTCAGTTGTTCGTGATAAGTCTTCTAACTGAACGGTTGAATCGGCTTACTAAGCTCTTGTAATAACTCTTGGCTGAATCTACACGACAACTTGAACATGAAAAAAAGGTGAGAAGTGTGAAAGGGACACTTTACTCCAAGGTTACTTCATGTACACGAAGTCGAGGGTATTTATCGTATTTCAGATGGCTTTGGGAGGTTCAGGGACCATACTAAATATAGTATCAGCGCTGGTAATCATGCAGTCAGAAATATGACGTCACTTTCTAGATGTTTCTGAGAAACTTCTACTCAAAACTGACTGGGTAAAATACTTCCCTGTGTTTTCAGGTTCCCTCTGAACATTTCGAGTAATACTTTGGATCTCGTCAGCACCTTTCTTCTTTCAGGAAACAAGACTTCATCTTTGAGTCTGCTTGCTTCACGATTAAGCCACTCAATTAAAAAAACACAACTTCCAAAAGCAGTCACATGGTCTTTAATTCACTTAATGCAAATAAGGCAACAAATTTTTCTCTGTTTGTATATATTCTTTGGCAAACTAAACAGCATTAGTTCTGTAGTTTATCGCCATATAGGCTATCGATGATTTTTAGCGATTTTTTCCCAAGTTGATCAACTTCATCATGGATCGCTCAAACTTTATGATATTAAAACCCTTTTCTGAAGATTCGAAAAAATTACTGCCATCAAATCGTTGGACGGCGGCTCAGTGGATGCGCACTATTGGGGAGTCCCGCACTAGGACGAAACGGCCATCCAGTGCTTCCAGGTCTTCAAGGATGGTCTAACATTGATCAAAATCCTACTATTGAAACTCCTTTTCCACTGTTTTAAAGTATAAGTAGTGTAGATGTCATAGTATCTACAGTACTAAACCCTGTTTGATACTTTCAAGTATTATCAACTCCAACATTACACTAATCACGTAAGCATGTAAATTACATTGGTGTTTGTTTTTATTTTTCTAGGTTGAACTAACTTACTGGCTTGCGCCGAAACACAATATGGGTATGGCTGTATCTCGTACTGTATGGAAAAATATTGAACAATGCTTGAATGTGAGTTATGTAAAATATTAATAATAGGACATTTTATCGTTTTAGGTGACATCAATGTATTTACATACCTTACTTTTAGAAATATGTATTTTTAATAAATATACACGGTCACTATCGAATTTATTCAAAGATTTCTCTTTCTGGTTTTAAGCTAAGCATTCCTGTATTTGTAATTTCAAATTATCTAAACGACTAATTGTGGGATAGAATTCCGTTTTTATTTTGCAATCTAGCAATCTTGGCTCTACTTGACGCCTTGATAGCTGCACAAATTTAAAAATTCCAAAACGTATTCATGATATGACAGTAAACGAAAACAGATGCTTGAGTTATATTGAGGCCCCGTGTAATTGGATTGTAATTACAGGCAAGCAGTTGTATGCCATAGTCCGAGTATTGATTAATTCGCATAAATTGTTCATACAATACCGATGACATTCTACTAACTATGGACGCGTTGATAGTGAGTTAACACCCGAAAATAATACTCAACGTTTATTGGTCTAGTATACAGTTCTCCTACACTCACGTGATAATCATGACTGACATCTATCCTCCGGTGATTGAAATTCTTAATCTCTATTGATAAAAATTTAAAGAAATAATTATAAGTATTTACAAATAAGTGAATTGGTTGACCTGTTTCTTTTCAAAATTTGTACTCATACAATTAGGAGGAGCATATTGTTTGTTTATTACTTAGTTATTTGAACACATAGATATTGGTACAAGGGGGCACCAGATACATATGCACCACACAAATCTCATTTGATTTGTGTAAGGGCTGTGATGCTGCCCGGATGCCCAAACCGAAGCAGGTGGTATTCTTAGGGGAACACACTCGGAGCCTTTGACTTAAAGGTCTGATCGACAAGGCAGTGGAGCATCGTAAGGAGATGCAGTCTCATGGTAGCAGGTGACCAACGATTGATTCGTACGCCATTTGTTTTCTCAGGGTACCGGAACCCATGTGCACCATTGGTTTGGAATCAGGGTTTTCCAACTCCCCTAGATGGACTCTCCGTGTCCACCAACAAGGTTAAAGCGCCGGACATTCACTTTTCGTCCTTTCAATTTGGTAAACAACAGTAATTTGGTGAGAAGGCAGTGAGTAGGACTTCCCTGGCAGAGGCTATATACGCGTGGCCATATGAGAGCATTTGGCGTGGGAGAGTGGACTTTCCCCACTGTCGGCCGTACCAGGGTATTTGGGGGCATTTTATTTGTTTAACTGACTGTTAAATACTGAATGAATTGTAATCTGATTAGTTAATATATAAATAGTTCCAATTGGTTGTTAAATTTTAATGTAAAACAAGATTTTCTGAGACAGATCAATTATTTTGTAATAAAATATAAAATCATAGAAAAAAAACCATAGCCTTGATTCTGTTCGAGCACCATATCATATTAGTTGTTAATAGCTGTTACAATAAAAATTCGAATCGATTTTCTTATTGATCCATATTATAAAAATAGAGAGATGAAAAAAAATTGATCGTCACAGTGATACAGGTTGTCTTTCTTTTCTTTTTTTTTGATTTTTCAATCATCCTAACAAAAATGAATTTATTAAACTTTATTTGCATATAAATTTCTCTGTCAATTGAAACATTTAACTTTGTATGTTATCTTAAAGAAAATGGGATAAATTATGAACTATTCATTGGTTATAATAAAGATAAATTTCTTGTTGATAACTACAAGTTTTTTAATTACAGTAAAACATATTGTACCTTAAAACTAATGACTTGGAAAATTAACAAAAAGAAAATGATTTTCCATTTAAGAATTTTTAATAGTTCAGATCATGAGTCAATTGAAGCTAGACCACCATGGAAAACCTGGAAGTACTGAACGTCTGTTTCATCCCATTGTGAGACTCCTCAGCAGTGCGTATTCACGATCCTGCCTCGCGAGATCCGAACCTAAGACCTATCGGTCTCGCACGCGAGTACTTTACCTCTAGATCATTGCTGAAGAGTCCCACAATAGGACGAAATGGCCGCTCAGTGCTTCCAGGTTTTCCATGGTGGTCTAGTTTCAATTGACTCATGATCTCAACTATTGAAATTACTATAATATCCACAAAAACTCCTTCTGATACTAATTATTTAATCGTATAATTTACATAGTAATGGATTTTAAGCTGTTAAAATTTCTCATAGATGTTTAAAAATAGTTTTATGTAACCATGGTAAACCATTGTAAATTGTTTTATTTTAATAATGTTCAATATTTTTAATAAATCTATTATTGTTGATTGATTAATAGTTTACACTTTCATAAATGAATAATAATTGAGGAAAAATAAAAATTACTTATTGGTTATTTTTGTAAATAATAATCTTTGATTAATCTTTGAATATTATCCTCTCATGCTTGTTCACCTGATAGATAGAATAGGACATAACACAGTAAATCGATAACTCTTAATTATATATAGTTTAACCCCATGACCCATCTCATAAAAATAATATCGAGTAAAATCTTAATCCCGGATCAATCATTACTAAATTACGCTTGTTACACCCAGTGGAGCATAGACCAACCCACTCTTTCTTGAGCCTTCCTTTCTAGTTCTATCAATTGTTTGTTCATTCTTCTCATATCCCTCTCTATTTCTCGGCATAATTTGTTCTTTGGTCTTCCTCTCCACCTTTAGCCTTGAGGATTCCAAGCGACGGATCAATTATAATTACGAAATATTACATTATAGGCATAACTACGTCAAAAAATGGAAGACGGCTATGTGATAGGTACATAATTAATTGACAATAATTTGAGAAAGATAAAATACATAAAACAGTAGTTTATGCGTCCAATGAAAGCTTATAAATAAGAGAATACAAAGATACAATAATTTTAGATAGAACAGTTCTGAAAGTTCAGCTTTCATTAATATTTACCCCGTTATAGCAATTCACTTACTGATATAGTTTTAAACATTCATCATCAGTCTACACATATTAGCCTTTTTCTAACTTATTCTTTACAAAATGTTAAAGAATAACCGTATCAGTAATAAAGTAGTAATCTCTCAACAAACTGAAGTAAGTATATTATAATGGTGACCCTTTTAACTCTATTAGTGTTTATTTGTAAATTCTTAGTTTTACTGTAAGCAGTTAAAAATACCAAATCTTTAACCATACTTCAAAGGTTTGTCACCTTAACTTTTTTTAAGAAGTAAGATTAAAGACACGTTTAATTATGCCTGTTAACTTATACTGTCTCAGTGACTACTTTATTGATTATTTTCCGAGAGTTGTAAAGTTGACTTCGATTGTCTTATTTTTGTAAATGCACTTGGTATGTTACCTAACTACATCAATTTATTGTTATTTGTGACTTGATCAATATGAGTTTAACCTATCTTATAGATTTTTTCCGTATTATGAACAAATAAAATGAATAAATATTTAAACCCTACTAATACAGTGCTGAACAATTCTCTAAGAAATCGATATTATATTTTAGTAAAATTTTCCTCTAATAATATGTTAACACCCCAACAGTATGATCTGTGATTTATTAGGTTTACAGGTATTGTTTTTTTTAAATGTGTCAAATTACCTGTGCTGAGCTTAATAACTCATTTATGTTTTTTTTCTTTTTCAGTTATTCTGTCTTTATGATGATTATAATTGGGACTGGAGTCTACAGTATATTGGTCAAAATTGTTTCCCAGGCAAACTGAAGGCCTTGACTCTACCTCTTTCTACTCGTGTCTTTCATTTGGGTGAATGGTTAGTAGTAATGTTTTGCAACAGTTCTTTTCGTTATTAGTTTATATATATATATATATATATATATATATATATATATATATATATATATATATATATATATGAGATAGGATATGTGTACGTATCCATGAATTCTCAGCGCATCCGGTTTTTGGTGTTTAATATGTGCCGAGTATCAAGCATTTTTGAGGGTTGTTCCATTCACTTAATAAGTGAGTTTGCATGTGAGAGCATATTTTTCATCGAGGATTTAATTTCAAGATTTAATCTTCACTTTATTTGTTTTTTTCATTCGGTAATTTGGAATGCGATATAACGGCCTGTTCAGAAAAGACACATGTAGATACTTTAAAATTACTGAAATGAAATTCCGATTGAAAATCACGTTTGAGAACTCAAATATAGTGAACATTGACCTCACACTTTTACTGAAATATCTTTAAGCGTATTACTTGTTCAAGTAGAAATTTTCAATTGTCTTGCTTTTGACATTTAGTCACGTTATTATAGATGTCACGGTTATTCACACCAGTCCATATAAATACACGAAAACCGCTCACTTTTGATTTAAGTGAGGATCAATCACTCGTAAGCAGAATAGAAATGCTGCTATAAAGAGACGAAATGAATGCCAAAGTATTAGTAATATCAATGATAGTAGAGAGTACTAAGCAAAGGGAATACGATCCAAGAAGAATGAATCAGTTTGTGGATTGATTGAAAGGTATAAAATAATTTTTAGGCTCAGAATCTGTGAATAAACAACCTACTCTTGTCTCAGCGAACATCTGAAGACGAGGTAAACAGTTGCTGGGCTTATGTAATACATGTTCCAACCACCTCAGCTAGTGAAGGTTCATAAATTAAATAACAGCCTTACCACATTTTAATTGCACCTTGCGTCTAACCTCAGCTTTTCACACTTAGTAGTTCCAACATACATGAGGAACACTTGAAAGACACGTATAATTAAATACTACTAACCCACGAATGTTTTCTATTTTCAAAGGCCATGTTCAATAGCCGTAAGGTGAAATAGGGGTGTTTTACTCCCTTCGTTGGCAGGCGGTCATCTCAACTATGCCACAGATGATTCTAGTTGGGAAAGCCATGTGGCTTTTCTGGGCTTACGCCGAGTTTTCTTCGGAAGTCAACCTACCAGGGATGATAAGACTCCCAAGATAACATGTGCTCTCTACGATCCATATAGTCGATGATGCAGACCATTCTTCAAGCATCATTTCGTATTTCAAAGAAGGAAAACGTTTCGCAAGAATGGTTGAATCAGAAGGCTTGTACATTATTTCAGAATATTCACTGAACAGGATTATGTCATCCGCATATTTCATGCGATGTCTGAAAGTTAGGCCTAACAGTCATATCTAATTTATTGGGCATTGAATGACCTACTACCTAATTTCCTCCAATCGTCTACGATATTTGGTCTTAAATACTTTGTTTGTATTCTGAGCATAACTAAGTTGTTTTTGACACAAAGAAGAAAGTCGTCTGGTTAGTTGTCTCGTCTTTCATATCTGATAATTCGAGGGCTTTAGTCAATAATACTGTCTTGTGAATAGCCATCCTTCGGTTGCATCATATTGTTGTGTCCATCTATCAATTGGCATTGTATTCAGTGATTTTAATAATCGTAAATGTCGTCTAGTCTAATCATTAAAAATAACCATAACAGTATTGCAGGTCGATAACTAAACCACTCGTTAGGAGATCATTTTCGGAATATTCAGCTAAAGAAAATGTTACTTTTAACAGTATTTCTATCATGAAATTAAGTAAAAAGTGTGAATAAAAGGTAGTTCTGACGAACACCACTAGAAATTATAAATCCAGATGGCAGTTCTGCATACGTTCCTACTTAGTAATTAGTATTAGAATAAAGAGGCTTGATAAAGTTTATCTACTTCATTGGTACACCTTTTAACGATATACAATACCATAAAACCTTTTGACCGTCGGATTCGAAAGTTATTTTCAAGTTAATAAATATCACTATTATTGGATATTGGTAATTATGTCTGTGTTTTATAACCTGAAGAAGCGCGAATATTTAATCTGTACAGCCACGTTCTGGTTTGAAACTGGCCTGATTTTCTCGAGTTTTCTTTTCACGAGCCCCTGTTTAAGCATTAAATGATTATTAAGTTTAATGCTTTAAACACTACATCAATCCTTTATGACTATCACAAGAGGTTGATAAACATGTGGTTAAACTTGTTTGTATGTACTAAATATTTAATGTGAATCATTCATACTACTACTAAAATTGTGTTAACGTACAAAAGTAGTTATTTATCATCTGACAAATCGATTGACATCAAACTTCAAGAATTTAATTTTCTTATTTACTGACATTATATTACGGTTTTATTGGTAAGTAACTATTCCACTGCTAACATCAATCAACCAGTTACTAGTTTCGATTTGATAGCAGAATTATTTATTTTTTTTTTGAAAAAAATAAAGAATAAACAATACATACATAAATTTACCGCATAAAGTATTAGAACATTTGAATATATATATGGATTAATAGACCAGACAACTATTGTTTGAAGTTCATATAGAAGTTATGTTACACTGAGTCTATTTAAATGAGACAATTATTTTGATAAGAATTAGAAATTAAATTACATGAAATTGTTAATATGCAAACTAAAATTATATAAACAGAATTGTAAATATTCATATAGAAATGAATTTTATTCACAATAATAATGATTCATATATCTTGAGTAGCAACTGATTAAATATACTTAATCACTGGTAACCTTGACATGTGTAGTGTTGATTGAAGTAGAAGTAAGTAGGAAAATAGCTGCAGATGATCAAGTTGATACGTGATACCAGTCCATGAAATAATGGATTGTTATTCGGACCTTATTTTTTGTTAGGTGTAAACTACTTGATTGGTGTCTAATCAATCACCATGATCAATGGTTGGAGATTTCGGGCAACATAACTCAAAATCCTATACAGTAGAGTGAATACAGTCACTATTTATCTTACTCTAGATCTTAAGTTCCAATATTCTTTTATACATACTTTATCGAATTATAATCATAACATTTAGTAATTCACATAGATACTACATTATTTTGGCTCTTTTAACATCAATTTTATCATATAGTTTTAATGTGATTTGATAATTTTGGCTAATGCATATTTATTCTAGACCGTACATTAGTTATAATCAACCTGATTATTTATGAGTTCAGTAGTGTGTTAAATATGAAAATCTTTTTCGGGAAAATAAAAGTTCATCATACTAAATGGCATAGTTGTCTCTTTTATACTTTATAAAAGCGAATTGTTGTGTACTGTTGCTTTGAAATAATAGTTAATCTTATGTAATATATTTGCATGGAAAGGAATTTTGTTTCAACAGTGATTCAGCACTAGTTTTCATATCAGTAGCTGGGTATATTTATTTTCAGTTATGTGAATTATTCAACCAAAAATATTATATATTCTGTTGACAAAAGAGACTCAATACTTTTGATGTTCTGAGGTAGACAGTTAAATTATTAAGCTTTCACTGTCGTTCTGAGCATCATCAGTGCCTATTTCATGTAGAATTAAGCTTCTCAGTTATTCCAAAAGTGTTAAATAAGTTTGTTCTAGCAGCATTATTCGTGATTGGTTTTCTTCGTCGTCTTTACTTGTCTTGGTATTCAAGTTGAATGTTTTGTTTCGTTAGCTTCTGACCATTTTGTTGGTTGGTCTTTTTCGAATAAATTACTCCTGCATGAAGTAATCTCTCATTTTATTCAGAAAGACAGTAAAAGCTCTGCAATTAAACCGTTTAGCTCAGATAACTCGACAACAATATAAAGAAATCACCCGAGCGGGCACCAATATCCCCTACCATAAGAAAGGATGCAATCGGAAATCTTCACCATATCAATAATAAACTGAAAATGTATACTAAACAGTTGACTTTCTAATGATCAAATTTCATCTAATGGATTCAGAACTATATTCGTAAAAAATTTACACATGTAAGCAACCACTCACTCATACCGTAATAAACTTCTGGCGATATGCTATGATCTGTCTTAAAAAGATCCAGCATTCCACTTAAATCACCGCTTTCTGTAGTTGGTGTTTTATTTATTTTAACACATAGATATTAGTACAAGGAGGCACCAAATACATATGCGCCAGACAAATCTCATTTGATGTGTGTAAGGGCTGTGATGCTGCCCGGGTGCCCAAACCGAAGCAGGTGGTTTTCTTAGGGGGACACACTCGGAGCCTTTGACTTAAAGGTCTGATCGACAAGACAGTGGAGCATCGTAAGGAGATGCAGTCTCATGGTAGCAGGTGACCAACGATTGATTCGTACGCCATTTGTCCCTTCAGGATACTGGAGCCCATGTTCACCATCGGTTTGGAATCAGAGTTTCCCAACTAGATGAACCTTCCATGTCCACCAACCCGGTTAAAGCGCCGGACGTTCGCTTTTCGTCCTCTCAATTTGGTAAACAACACCGCCACCACGAGAAGGCATTGAGTAGGACTTCCCTTGCAGAGGCTATATACGCGTGACCAGTTTGTGTTACCCAATGTTTGTGTGATAGAAAGGTGTATGCTCATTACGCAGTAAGAATTTGTTAACATGCATTGACTGCAATGTGTCAGTTAAAAACCAATTACCAGTTAGTTGGCTTACTTAATAACCCACATACGTACAATTATTATAATAGGAGGCAAATGCAACAATTGTCAATTCCACTACTTCAATATATAAACACTTCAGTATATTTATGAATTTAGTGTAGAATTTTCTTGACCCTACTCCACTTTTTGTGTTACTTTTGATTTCATTAGTATAGTATATAAGTACAATTTTATAATTCATGGGGTGTATAATATAAAACTATCAGTAATCCTCTTTTTATTGTACAATATATCATGTTGGTTTACCAGTAACTTATGCTTTTTCGAAATATTCATCTTGAGATAGCTTCATTCATGTTCAAATTTTATTATGAATTAAAACGTTCTACGGTATACTAACTTCATAGAAATAAATTAAACTTTTAGCATTATTTAAATGTATCACTATTATTTTTAATTACTTTATTAGCCGAGGTATTCATCATCAGAAAAATATTTGCTCAACAGAATCATTGGCAATAAATATTTTACACATGTTTAATGGACCATTATTGACCAAATTATATCCAACGTCTCTACATTTATCAGAAAAAATACATACTGAAAATCTTAAACAACGAGTTAATGGTGGTTGGTCTGATGAACGTGATCGAAGTCTTTGCCAAAGTCTATTTTCTAATAAATGGAATAAATTACTAACTCAATGGGCTCCTAAATTGATAGAATATTCACCTATTTACTAGGAAGATTTCTTGTACTATTCAATTTTGTTTGTTTGTTTGTTTTTTGCCGTTTGATCTTTCACTATTTTTGTTACTTTTCCACTGTTGTTTGTTGGAAAATTAAAAAGAAAACAATCTAGAGTCTCACTTTATTTTTCTCATATAATTAACTGCTGATATATATATTTTTTTCAAATCTATATCCTTTCTCATTTAAATGTTCAACCGTCCTCTACCAGGAATTTTCTATTTGAATAGATAAGGTTTTTTGTTATCTCTTAAAATAGTCTGAGGTTTGCTCGACATAAATGTCTATATATAAAGGGATTGAGTTAGTAATACTCATACGCTTAGATGCCCTTTGTTTGACTGTTTCTTGTTCTTTTATATATTATTGTTTCACAACATATGTTTGAATTTCTTAGTTACAAGATTTTCGTAATTTATTTTTTCAATAACTTTGGTTATCTTTCCAATTTGTACTTCACTTAGTGCTCAGATAAATTGTGCTATAATGGAGTTCCCCGTTTTATTTTATATCTTGAAAGATAATAGGATAGTACCTAAAAAGGAAATAAACTTGAACGGTATCAATTGATTAATTATACTTATTTTGTTTTGTTCAATTTGAATTCACTTTTTCGCCCCTAAATTCAGCAGTCAGTTATAAGTAGTATCGTAGGACACAGCATACACACATCCGTATAAATCGCAAGATTACATCGATCAGCACAGTGAGGAAAATTGTCATGATAGGTACCAAAGTGGTAGTAAAAGAAATTGGGGGTCAAGGAGTCTAATTCGAGAATAATTGGTTTGCTTAGTGAAAGGTATTAAGTAATTTCCGGATGCAGGTCGTTGTTCATAAAAATGTATTCCTAAGAATATATTGTTAGTCTTGTCAGAGATATGAATTTTCAAATCAGATAAGCCCGATGTTCCCATACATGATAAATTTAAACCAAAGTATGGTTATTCGGTTGACTTTATTTACCTAATGCGCTGAATTCACACAACCTTACCTTCGGGTATCTGGGTACTATAACATCTGCCTGTAGTCTCACGGGGATGAAGTCGAATTAAAAGTGTACTTCCAATCTATATTCTAGTTGGGTATTACTCTATCTAAATAATTGGTACTATAATTAAGAAAATGAGTCGAGATACTAGCTGATGTCTGTTTCCTGGTCTCTCTTGATGTTCTAAGAGTAGTTCCAATGACAAGCATATGAAAAGACATCAATAACCACTAACTTACTCGTGTATACAGACTACATAACCATTAACGGTCCACGAAAAGGACCACTTAAGAACTGTCTGGAAAATTCTCCTATTTAAACCATGCCTTGATGCCTGTAAATGTATGATAATTCACTAATTATAAAAGTTTACAAGTAAAAAGTATGTATGAGCTCAATTCGAAGATAGTGTCAACGGAAGTCGTATAGTTACTAGGATGGAAAACTTTTCATTCCAAAAGTAACACGACATCCCTTCTAGAGCGTTGTGGAAATCAGTCATTAACAACTTCCAGTAAGAAGCTAAAAGGAGGAACACAATTACATATCCCCGTTTTTTTAAATGATCGCGCATATTTATAGCACAACGAATTGTTGTGGTTGAGTTTACACTGGACCTGTTATTGATTGAATCAGAAACCTGGCTCGCATACCAATTTACTATTAGAAACCTGTCCAACTGTTGAGAGAAATAAAGTGCATACATAGAAGAGAATTTACCCAGTATGGTGTTATATTTACTGAAGTTTACATAAAAACTGAGTTCACTAGGACTACATTCTGGATAATTTCATCCTAGATTTGAATGACTCACTTGTACGCTTACATACCTTGTGTCTTGGTAGTAACAAACTGTTGAACGAATTAGATTCGGTCCAGCTGAAGTTAGATGCTCATAGTCGACTTAAGCTATGAAAAAAGTGACTGCATTTTAAATTGCGTATTAAAAGAAAGCGAATTGTACAAAGACTTGTTTTTGTGTGTATTATTTCGCTTATTTCTGTGAAATTAATACCTTTATTAGGAACAAAGATCATTTGAGGTCAAGTATATTTCCCTGTAGTTTAAAAACATCAATAATTGTCTTTAATCGGTTCCATCTACGGTATAACTTTCAACTTATCTCGTCCTAATGTTTCGTTAAACATCTTGTTTGATTTGCGCATATGACATACAGATAAAATTATCCAACCAGCTATTCAAGTCTATAATATTTCTTTGACATTTCAAACTTTCAAGAAAATGTTTTGACAGCTACATCTGGTAATCATTTTCTTTGTGATCAGATTGATAAACGGAGATATCCAACTCGAAATATTTTCAACAAACCATACACGGATGTACTAGTGAATATCATAAATTATAAATGCAATAATTCTTCAGGCTTTCTGCAGCACTTATTCCATAGATGAACCAATACAGTTCCAGGAGAATTCTGAAAGATTAAACACTACCAGGTATCGTAAGTAATCAGGATAATACAACCAACTATTCAGATTCATAGAGGCTCTGAGTAAAGTATTTCGTATGACAGTGATACTATCACCTGTATTTTCAAACTATAAGCGACGTGGATTTGAGTTTAAAATCTTTAGTCAAGCATTTGAAAATACAATGTCAAATAACCACCTTTTCAGTATAGCACATTCGGCGTAGATAATTGCTGTTATTGCATTAAATTAATCAGTATTTCAGTCACAAGGAAGTAATCTTTTCTGAATGTTTACAAACTATAGGCGTCAAAGAAGGTGGAACATGCAGCACTGTTTATGTCATTGACGATAAACTAAAAGAAAACTAACAATTTAAGAAATCGCAAGACAGTTACTATTCACTGTAAGAGTAAGAATGTTATATTTGTTTTACTGAAACCTATTTTTAAAAATACACGTTGCATATCTCTCAAGAATTGACTAGGAACCCTAAATTGCCGTTTTTTATATTAAACGAGACATTAAATAGACGGTCACCACATTTATTTCAATAAAGCTTCATAAATTCAGCAAACCAAGAACATGGACCGTACAATTTGTATCACACTGAAAACGGATCAACAATGCACATAGTATAACACCATAGTAAAAAAAGACCAGAAAAAGAATCTGAAACGTTAAAGGAATTATTTTAGAACAGTATCAAGTTTTAAAAACCGGAAAACTAATTATCTTTTTATGGTATGAAGTAGAAAAAGGGCCTGAACTTAACAATGATATAAAGAAAGATAAATATACAATTTACAATAGCCCTAGTACAAAACTAGGACAAAAGTTGGAATATTATTCCAGATTTTGACGAGACTTTACAAAGCAATGACCAAAAAAAACCATGTGAATAAATAAAATTTCAATAATATACCCGGAAAATCAGAGTCAAAAGTATAAAGCAACATCAGAGGTATAAATCCGAATGACTAGTTATGGAATATTAGGACATAAGTTAAATTTTAGGCTAGCGAAGAACAAACAGAACTTGAAGTATTGAGCATGGGAGATGATAAGCTTATAGATTTTATGAACTGTGTTGGAAGTGATATTTTACAGGATGATTGTGATGAGATTTGTGAGTTTGGCGCAGAGACTTCAAGTGGAGTAGTTTCCATTTCATCATCAGAGTTATTCACATGCCGTTTACGAAGGGAATTTGTGGGGAAATTTCTGAATTTGGAGTTTACAGACCAAGATGAATTATTATTCTGAGGACATAGTTTAGATTTTTCCAGAATACTATGAGTTAGGTTACTCGATGTTGAAGGGGGTTGTGATTCCATAAACACAGAAAATCCATGCCTCGATGTTTCTTTTATTGTAAAATACAACTTAAAAGGTTGTTGGCGACGCCACGCATACAAGCAGGCAAGATCTGATAGTGTATAGTTAGAATTAAAAAGATCGTCGACTGAAAAGAAAACAGAAACCTCATGCTCACTGGGTTTAAGATTGAACTTCATTCGAATCAGCTTTTCAATATGTCCCACTGTAAGTTCAGGTGGACAGAGTAAAAATGTAGGGGGGATAACAGGCAGTATCGGGCTAATTGAATCTGTTTGACTAGAAGTTTTACTTGAGCAACCATTATTCTTATGTTCGTTTTGGTTCCAGTACCGAAGTTCAACGCTTAAACGATCTTCTTCTTGGAGTACATAAGTATTCAGGGTTAAATCACCACGTTTTTCAGGACTTAAAGATCGGGTGTAACATGAAGGATGATCTGCAAAGTTAAAGTTATGACAGATAAAGTTAAACATGACATTACATAGACCAACGCTATTGACCAGCATCTCATAATTCAGAACATGAATCATTGAGGTGTCGGAAAATATAAAAGACCTTATTGATCGATATACTGTCGAATTCCCACAGAAATGGAGATGGAAAAACGTTCGATACTAAACCCCCGAATTTATAGTTTTAGTTGAGGTTATCCATATCGATCATAAAATAGTTGAGTAGCTGTACTGAATATATATATATATATATATATATATATATAATTTAAAAGCTGAAATCGGATGTAAATTAGCCACAGTATGTATAGTGGCTGGTAGGCAGCTACATAGATTCAATTCTAATTGTAAGTTCAGAACCTAGATTAACATTGATTGGCCACTGTGGTCCTTGGTATGCTTAGTATTAAAAACTTTTCAACCTACTTTTCCACAGAAAATTGAACATAAAAATATGCTGAGTCAAAATAATGAACAGAGTATCCACAAACATTAGACATAACAGTTTACTAAATATACTACCTTATTTTGATGGAGTTTTGTTCTCTGAGCTGGATGGTTTGGGTGTGGATCTTTCATCGTTCTTCTGAACGATATCATCAACACAAACTTCAGGTAGAAGTGAAGTGTTCGAATTTCTCCACATGTGGTCCACAGCTTGTCTTGTAGACCTCGATGTTGATTGGTTCTTCTTGACTTTAAACCACCACCAAACCATCCAGTTCAGAGAACAAAACTCCATCAAAATCATCCACCTGAGCTACAAATCTCCACCATCTAAAAATATACTACCTTAGGTCCCATTTCAACGACTTACAACTTCAACATGGCTCCCTTTGTAGTTCTAACAATTAACCAATGTCTTGAAGGTAACTTTGAACGAATCCATTTACTCTCACTTTGTAGTTTCATGTCTACGACAGTAGAGCTCGTCAGAAGAAACAATCAAACAGTACACTCAGATAAATTTGGATGACACACTAGCGACGTAATTTTACGAATACTAGTGTTTATCAAACCTTCCGTACCCATCAATTAAACTTAATGGATAAATCAACTGACCAGCACATCCAACCACCCAATCGACTTGTTTTTTTGGCATTACCTTACATCTGACTGATGTAAATACATCCCAGATACTTCTGGATTTTTAATGTTTGGGGGACTATTTTGTCAAGATTTACGCCTATGTTATGTTTGGTACAAACCATTGGGATCCACAAGTTCACGACATCTAAACAGTAGAATAACGTAGAAATCACTTCAGTGTGTAAACGAATAATGATGCTAAAACGAAATGATCCGAATTGAAAACCCAGGTTGCCGTCAGTATACACTTGTGTTAGGATTGAGAGGCCTTAGTAACGTGAGACACTTGGTTGACGTTTCCAAAGAAACTAAACACTCCCACAAAACTTACTAGTTAACTGAGTCTGACTTAACTGTTAAGCTTGAATTTTTTGAGTTCTTCCGTTAATTGGGACTGCCGATTTACCCTGTTGATTTCAGCTCACTGTGTTGATGTGATATCAAAACGTTGACCGAAGCTCATTTGTCCCAGGCTTTAGGTTGATTGTGTCTGACTGACTGAACTATTTTTCCAGGCCATGAAAAATGATGTGTTGAAATTAATGAATTAGGAATCGATCAGTATTGCGCTATCACATTGTCTAACAAATATTTTCTTAAAATATATAACACAGTAAGTTTATAATTATGTAATTCTATTCATTTACCCCTGGACTTTGTCAATAAGAAACATAAAAATATTGATTAATACAAGACGTAGGTTTTTTGAAAAGGTTTTTCCTATTTCCATTATTTTACGACTCTACCCCACTTGTATGTAGGAAAAACCCGCAACCAATCTAAGAAATTATGATGCACCAAAGTATACCCAACAATACGTAGGGTAACACACTATAAGGTCAAACGTCTAATCAACAAAGTCGAAACGTCGAAATTTGCTTAAAATTCAGCAAAAATTTACTACATAAATACTCACCCTCATAAAATTTTCTTCTACATAGCATTTCCTTTTCAAATAAATTCGGTATAAGCTTGTAAACGATGGACTGTAGTGCACGATCAGGCCGAATTGCGCAATGTGGTTTGGTTTTGTGCAAAAGTGTCGCACAGACCGGGCATGTTGTGTTCAGTTTGAGATAAGTCAAGATACAGCTGCGGCAGAAAGAGTGTAGACACTCAACAATTGTCGTGGCATCGATTAAATAGCCTCGGCAAAGATTACACGTTAAGTATGGATTAAACAGAATGACCGGAACATCCGAAACTCGATGCATGATTTACCAAATGACTGTGAACATTTAGGCTGGAATTATTAAGCCAACTAAATATTTAACAAGCATTGGTTGTTGATGAATAAACGTCAACGGTTTTATTTTGACAGACAAACGGGTGGAACAAATGTCTAGAAAAATATAAAGAGGGAGAATTAAAGCACAGTACAACGTTAAATCTCTCATAAAGGTCTAGAATCTATTTATTTATTTATTTATTTTGAAAAAAATCAGTTTAATGTAAACAAATTGCAATACTACACTTTTAATCCGAATGGATTTGAGGAATGCTATATTTGACGATACCAAGTATATAGACTAAAACTAGTATTTGGGGATGTTGAGTTATATATACTGCATTTAAGAACAAATCAATTCCACAATTTGCGAATTGATTTGAAATGTACTCCGTTAACTGACTTAAAATGTGTTACAGTCCTATCGATTTGTTTAGTATGAAATTAACTTGCTTTATTTTCAATGCATCGTCGTATTAATTGATGCACAGTGAGTTTCTGTTCAAGTGACGATTGCTTAGATTAATAAATTTTGTAATTATTAAATCAAATATATATAAGTGAATGTAATTCAATTCCTCTGGGGTCTTTGTCTATAAACTATTTGTAAAAGATTTCTTTGTAAACCATCATGCGCGGAATAATCATTGAAGTATTACGCATTGGTTTTCGGGTCTATTCAATTCTCGTAGACCCCAATTCGTATTAGAAGAATCTCCCATTCATTCATAATCAGGAACTACAGTAAGCACTTTCAATACTAATATGACTACGAAGACCAACTTTGTAGAGTACAGTGACTTATGTGTATTGACTGTAAGTGCGAATTGTACCTAATACAGCAATGACTAAATTTACTTATCTAATGAACACAAAATCTGTTACAACTAAGTAATACAAACAAAATGATTCACGTGAAATACAGAGATGACGCTGTGAGAAAAATAAGAGGGGGATGGAGTGTATTTAAAAAGGAAGGATATATAATAAATAAAGTGGACATTAATAGTATGTAATGTGAGGTAAATTTCAGTTAACAGTACAACCGAAATAGGGTTTCTACTCAGTTTTGCGAAGAACGTAAAAGATAGCTACACCTACATCGCTATTTTTATCTATTTTGAGCTGTCTGATAATGTTTCAAACCACTACGTTGCACCATTTCTAGGATCGCAACCACAAAGCCTTGACGGGTCGCTAAGAGCCAATTCTATACTGCCCCTTGTCATAAGCTGACCATATTTGCTTTTTTAACCAGTTCCAGAGTCAGCAAATAAAATGAGAACCCTTTTGATGACATTATTAGGACATGTTTAAGCCACTGAATATGAAGTGAAGGTACTAACCGAATCGCAATTGTGCCCAAACACACATTGACGAACGTCAGTATTACTAACATGGTGTTGCAATTGGCCATCTCGTTATAACTTTATTTTACTTTCTTCACAATAGTGAACGTAACTTCTCTAACTGAAACAATTCTTTCTGGTTGCACTTTTCCTAACTGAACTGCTTCTCCCATTGTTATTATAGCTATTTCGCTCTCATACACTAAATTATGTCCACTGTTTCTCTTCTTTACACTCACTCTCCATTCTCTATCTATTCACAACCTCATTTTTATTATGTGGTGCATATGTATTCGGTGCCTCTTTGTACTGATGTTTGCGTTCAAATAAATAAATAGAGTACATCCGCATACTCAAGATCAAGGTCTTTTTCGGGGTAACGACTTTACATCTCTCATTACATACTTGCCCCCAAATGCCCTGGTACGGCTGAGAGTAGGGAGTCAACTATCCTTCCCGAAATGCTCTCACATGACCACGTGCATACAACCACTGCCAGGGAAGTCCTACTCACTGCCTTCTCGCCAAATTACTGTTGTTTACCAAATTGAAAGGACGAAAAGTGAATGTCCGGCGCTTTAACCGGGTTGGTGGACATGGAGAGTCCATCTAGGGGAGTTGGAAAACCCTGACTCCAAACCCATGGTGCACATGGGCTCCAGTATCCTGAAGGAACAAAAGGCGTGTGAACCAATTAATAATCACCGGCTACCATGGGGCTGCAACTCCTTACGTCGCTCCACTGTCTTGTGGATTAGACCTTTAGGTCAAAGGCTCGGGGTGTGGCGCCCTAAGGAAACCACCTGCTTCGGTTTGGGCACCCGGGCAGTATGCCAGTATGTGGTTCATATCTATTTGGTGCCTCCTTTAACCAATTTTTATGTTTAAATAAGTAATAATGAGAAATGAACTACATACTTGTATCTGAGCTCTTCCCAGAATGTCAACGATGGCAAATGTGATGAATGGTAATGTTGGGGAACCTTGTTTAAACCCATTCCTATGGTAAAGCAATAGAAAGACGTGGTTGTATGCTCTCGTTCTGCTTGGAGTGTTTCCAAATAGAGCCTTGTTAATACGTTAATAAACACAGACATACTCTTTTTCAACAGATAATCCTCACCCTTTGTACCAATATTTATGTGCTTATGACTCATGAATCAAAAGAGGCCCTGATATCAAGAAACACAACAATTGCTGGTCTGTGATAAGTATAGTAGTGGTTTGATATTTATTAGAGGGTGAAGATGTGACTAATAAATATGCGGACTGGTCGGAAATCAGAACACGCCTAGCGAGACAGTCCTGTGGGTTTTGAACTATCTGTAAATTATGACGAAAGTCAATAGTTTAGATCCAACCAGAACTATACTTATCCCACGATAGTTAATGCATTGATGGCGTAAGCTCTTTTTAAAGATGAGGATGATCATTGCCTCATCCCAAGAAATTGTAACACATTCACTTTCTCAAACAACTCAATTGGTTCCTTACCTAGTTTTCCACTATCCTTCGGAAGACTACGGAGAGGTCATATGGACCTGGTGAACTGACATACTTTGCAAGTTGAGGTTTCTTGAGAACCTTCGTTTTTATTAGTAGATCGGTGACCATGAACCGAAAAGGACAAGGCATTCAACCGGATGCCTCTGAGACAACAGAGACTGAAATGCTCTGCTTATTGTTCACGACATCGTTGAGTGCTATTGCTTAGCGTACCAGTGATTTCACAAATTGTCTCACTTATCCATCAGGCGTTTTTGCCACCCGTGGCTCAGATGAGTTGAAATAGCTTCCGGCAGTTACCATGTAATCCAGCTATCCCTATTTCGGTAGCGCTCTGAGACCACCAGCTTTCCTCAGGTAAACCTTAGGAAATTTCCTAAAGTAAGAATCTTTATATATCGCTAAATGTATGATTCGCCAGAGTTGACTGGTACACATCAAGGAATTGTAAGGATCCTGAAGAAACCCAGAGCTTATATGCAGGATGTTTCGCCATACCACCAGATGTGATCCGTCATCTTTATAGTATCATGCAAACTTAGCCAATTCTTACATATACTTTCCGAGGGATCGGTCGCTTATCTTGAACACAAAACGGCTTGACATCTGAGTGCAACAGAAAGTGCAACCAATTTACTTACATCAAACTGTTTAGGACGACGAATTTGTTGACCGCTGAAGTGTAAAGTAATCTCGAAGCAAACCGAACCAATGATAAGTCTAGATAAGTACTCTTAAAAGAGCAGTAGCCTTGTGTGGGAACACACTACGAATAGTTGATTGTGATTTGATCAGTGGATCCAGGCTTGACTTACAGAGGGCAAGTACCTAATAGCGAAGACTGTCGAAAATTAGTTAAGACTAGAAACACGTAAGCTGTGCAAAGTTTCAGGAGACAGTCATCGCAATCTGACCTGTGGCCAATAAGTCCCTATTAGACACATAAGCGACTCTTCTTTGTTTCTAGATGCCCGGTTGGAGCACTCAAATCTCCAACTGACATTACAATATCTGTCGGATGGGCTTGCTTGCGATGAACTGCAACATGCAAAATAATTTTATTACAAACACCAATTTCGAGATAGCTATAAACAACAATTCTACGTTATGCTTATGTTTTGAACCATAAATGTATTATGATTATTCTCAGGCCACAGTAAGATTTGAAAATTACAGGTACTGAGTCACAGAAACTGGATGCTTCATGTAGCTACGGTTCATATTGACATAGACATGTTGTTGAAAAGTATACAACTACACGAAACACTCATATTATGGATGTTGAAACGAGATGGGTTTTACACTTGCATTCCAGCTACGTATTATCTAAAATTCGAAAAACTGAACCCTCACTGAAAGCAATCACATAAAATAACAAATACATTTGAAGTGAAGCCAGAAGACAAAAATTGGCACCCCAGATCAAAGTTGGATAGGACTCACCATCCAGATGTCGACATACTGTATTTACAGGTCACAAATCTACTTTCCTAGATCACTTGATCTCGTTAGATGGTTAAAATTTGCGAAAGACGATAAAGAAATACACAATGATATAACATTGATTGAAAACAACTCGGCATCATTAGATAACTGAACCCTTGAATGAGCTCTAGTCCTTCTGACTCGCTGATACTTTAAGTATTTCAACTAGTCACAGAAAAGCTCCTCTTCTATGAATAGTAATAACCCTGAGTAGCTGTTTATGCTGATAGGCAATTATGCCATATTAATTACGAATGAATGGCTATGGTGCAAAATATCACTAAAATCTATCATGGATGAGATAGACAAAAACCAAGGGATAGTAATAGGTAACCTAGGTTTACTACAGTAAGTTAACGTCTGAACTGTTAATGAGTAGCTATGTAGGCTTAGAATAAATGACAAATCATAAAAAATAAATAACACCCGCAATCACAGGATGAGTAGTTTAATTCCTTAAGAAAACTTTTGACAGTTAGCAGTACATCAAAATCATGATTTTAATCACATTGCAATAAAAAAATTATCCAAATGTGTTTTCCTATTACATAGCTCTTCTGGTAGAAAAGCAGTTCTAGCAATTTGAAATAACTAAAAGATTCAAAATCTTGTGTCGATAACAGGATTACACTAAGCCCTATGACATCGGCAATAAAAACCATGTTGCCTAAACATACTTTCACCAAATTGAAACGTCCAACTGCAAGTTAACCGCTAAAGATCCATAGAACGTCCAATTTCATAATCACTAGCTCATATCATAGAATAATTGGTGGCGATTGTCATCAGATGATAGTACCAATGTTTTAGCAAATAATATATCCAAACCAACTTAAACACAACTTGATACTGTGTTAAGTGTTAAGTAATCCACAAAGATCAATAGGGTATAAACATTTAACACTGCTGTTGACCATTTCGGCCTTACTGAAAACGTCACTAAATGAGGGTGCTCAGCCAAACATCCACATCAGATGGTGACTCAACTAGCCTTAGTACACATCTGCTTAGATAACTAGACAGTTAACAATTACACACTTTGATATCATTCAAAAATATATCCTGCAAGTCAGTTAATCTCAATTCCCCTTTTATTTTTCTGATTCCTATGTAAATGTTTGAGACCATCAAAAAAATCTTGTTTCGTTATTCCAGTCATTCAAATATTTGTCATGCACACTGACTTTGCGACAGGCCGAAATTAACTGGATGGCTTTTGTGAGCAATTAGTATCCAGTACAACACATCAGGTGGCAAGAAGTACCTTACGAGGAAAATCCCTCAATGTTGTGTGAATAAGTTTTCAGTACGATAAGTGTTCAGCAAGCTTATATCGCTCGATTATATGCACTGATTCAGCCCGTAAATAATTAAGTTATTTATGTATTACTCTTATTATTGTAGGGTACTTACGGACCATACGCTTACTAGTGAGCGTGACGATGACAATTTGTTTTGCTCTGAGACGTAAAAATTTGATACCTTTATTCTCACGTTTTATTCCTCATCCGATGACTTTGAGATTGAAATGAATCATTTTGTTTTATTTTTAGCCTTTCAATGTCGTTCGGCACTTCTAAAGCGTCTACACATCAGTTGCCTTTGACATTTTTTTATTTCTAGTGGCTTTTATTTAAAGTTAGTGAATATTAGTTGATTCTGTTTGCTTTTACTGCCTTAACCTAGCCTTTAAAAATAAAACTACGGGTCCTATTTTTCGGGAAATTTATTGTTTCTGGCACTAGCGGTTAGATATTTTCGTATTTCTTACATGAACACTATGTTACAGCTAACTAACCACTTTTATTATTTTCTTATCGTTTTGGAATAAAACGTTGTTTTCGGGTTGCTAGAATTACTTCTCCTTTGATGGGTCATCGATTCACATTACTGAGGTTTCAAACACCTAAGGTTTTGTAGTTCATCACTCAAGTACTGTTGAAATAAGTGGCTGTAGCTGAAGAAAGTATTGCTTATGTCTATTCTATATATTTTTGCCCACATAATGATATATTGGTAGCAAATCTACCCCAATTATGTATGTTTGTTCATATTAATAATGACATCTTTTCAAATAATAATCTGTTACATGAAGCATCCCGTTTTACGGGCAAAATCAAATAGTAACAGGTGGGCTGCTATTAAACACAACTCGATCTCGTAAATGTGGCCTTCAGCTTAGCAACCAATCAGAATGAAGCTGGAATTATCATATCCGCCATCTTTGGCGGTCGGCTTTCTTCGTTCTGTGCTTTTTTCAGCTATTTCTTTTGTGTAGCTATGTAATTTAATGTTTCAGTGTGCTAAAATGCCGCAGTCAGTGCAATGTTCTATATGTTGGTGTGAAACTTATTTCGAATCAGCATTGTTTTTTGCTGCTTCTACTCAAGTCAATGTATTTCTTCAGGCAGTCTGGCTAGTCTTATGTTTTAAAATGGTAATCGGTTTTGTTTTGACTTGTTTTCCAGATACACAAAGCAGAATTTTTTTAGCTGCATGCGACTAACTATCAGCATGTTCGTTCCTAACTGTCCTTTATGATGTTATCGGTACAATAAAAAGAAACAATCTCTGGTTTTTAATTTTCTTCTGTATTAAGGACAACACTATCTCACCAACGAGTCAAAGTAATACTGAGTGCCCAGCAGTAGGGGATATCAGTATTGTTTTCGAAAGGACCCAGACATTCGACAACCATAGACGAAGTCACAGATGCTACCAATATATTGCAGAGGGTTTGTTGTAAAAAATATTCCATATATCAGTAATGGAGGGGGTGTACTCATTACGTCGTGCGTTAAAGCAAGCCTAACATTGGAAAGCCGGAAATCTGCTATTAGTGTGTAGTGTATGTTTGCCGTTTTGGGCATAGAAGGAAGCCGATGGGTTATGATCAGGGAGTAAGAAGGTAAGCAACTGTTATTAAGTTCACTTTTTTATAGATCGTATTTCGACACGCAAATTTGTGTTCTTTTTACGGTATGATGTCATCCGGTACTTAATATGTTCACCCTTACGATGAGAAGTACCTGCGAATTGGACAGCTGTCTTCCAGTTTGAGTGCTTCCTACGCCCTGTGAGACTGGATTCCTACATTATTCGTAGTTTCAGTATAACTTTCTCACGCAGTAAGGTCAAAGTAGACAATATTCTTTCTAAATAAATATGTTAAGCTAATATCCGTATTCTCTATTTCAGTTAATCCATGAAGACATTTACCAAGTTCATCTGCCGTATACTGCCATTTTACTCTAATTCTAACTGTTATATCTTACTTCAGAAAAATAAAATTGCTATATGTAGCAAATACAGACCTTTTTTGATGAATATAGGGGAGTTCATGGTTTTTTAGCAGAACTGTAGTAATATTCTCACTAAAGAGCTAAGCGAGTGCGTAGACCAATGTTAGGCAACATACAGGGTGCCTTTGAGTTACTAGTGTTCCATTAGTGCGGGTAGGGGCATCGCTTGCCTGTCATATGGCATTTGAATAAGAAGCTGTGAGATTAGACGCAGATACGGTTAGGATGTATAACTTGTGTCCATCAGCTGCCGTGGTTAGAATAAGTAATGAGGGGACCCAAGTCTGTAGGTTTCCTAAAAAAATGACGAAGATATGTACCAAATCACTTAAATTTACTACATATGAAATAGGTGCTGTGAGGCTCGTGTATCGCAAGTTTCTTGCAACGATTAGGTAGGTAAAACAAAGCATTAGATTTAAAAATTTATTCAGGAGCTTCCGTTAGGAATCGAATTTCAAACAAAGGTTTAAACGAAGTCCCCGTTTAAAAGTTGCATTGGTAATGTTAAGCTGCAGTCTCCGTCGTTTTTTTCCAAACGAAAGGGTAAAAGAAGTAACTCAAAAAGTACTGTAAGTGGTTGTGAGACTAAAATGGACATCCAGCATCCTTTTCATGATCTGCTGTTAGTTGGGTCTCCCGTGAACAATTCCATAGTGCTATAGTTCTAAGGGCGAAACAGTTCGTAGGATCTGTGAAGACTCACTGCTGTTGCATTCTAAATAAGAAAATAGTAATGAATTTAGTCAGAAATGTGTAATAGATAAATAACCAAATTACATGATTTTTGCAAAGAATTTGTGCAGTTGTGATTTACTTTGAGTTCATGAATATTAGATCAGGACAGCTACTATTACTTGTGCAAAGCATCATATGGGCTTAGTGCCGTACGGCAATGCCATTATTATTTCGCTCCCATTTAAGTATTCCCATGCATCTGTAGTGACTCACTTTTATCACGAGAACACGATTGGTTTATTGAAAACAACTATTATTATAACCAATTGTACCAGTGACTGTTTAATGTGCTCTTCGTTTAACTGTGCTAAAAACACCCATTATACTTACTTTGATTGTGACCTCGTGGGAATTCGGTTACGTTCTGTAACCAAGCTTGTATCCTGGCACGATCTCGGTATCCTTTCGATATCACGAGATCGCCAGCAAGCATATCTCGATTTGGCCCATTAACTTCCTTCTGATATTTGGCTTCCCAGGGATTTTATGGATATCCTGGCACGCGTTCCTTCGTAGTGGTGTTTATAGTCAACTGTGACTCGACGCCACTCTACACATCTGCGTCTTGTTCAACAGGAATACACACAATCAGAATCAGTGTCTGATAAACTAAAAGTCCCAGTTGTCAAAAAGATTCTGAACATTTAGCCACAGCCAGCAACATTCAATTGAGACATCGAAAACTCATCTTGTAAGACTGTGTACTGCTGTTTTGCGGGCAACTATGAACTCAGACACTTAGCTAACCTGCTACCGATGTTATTGCTGTTGGAATTGTTTGTTGACAGTGATCTTGAAATATGGTCAGTGATAGATATACAGTCTAGAAATAAACATCAAATATACCTAAAGCTATCTTATAATGTATGACAGCAACAGTACCAAAGGCATTTTTCCCTATCTTTAGTCAAACTCATTTCAATCAGTATACTCATTAGAAACAGGCAGCTCTACTTACTAAACTGATCTGTTTCGTTACAGGCTTCAAGCACTATACTTAAGTATACCATAATTCTTCGGACTAAACTGAACTAAACGACAACCAAGAATACTAAACTAAGCAAGTGTCATAATTATTGTTTCATTTGCACAGACATGTTGCTCAAAGTAGTTAAATGGATATAATTAGGCCGATAAAACCAAAACACGAAATATGGGCCAGCCGAACTAAACCTAACAGAAGATAAATGATATATATATTGCTTTCAGGTTGAAGGCATCAGTCAGTTGTTCATAAAAACATAGTTTACAGTAGAACAAACCTTTCTTCGGTATCATTATGCACTCATGGTCTATCTGGAAACAATCAACTATGTGATCAAACTCACTATGACCTGGGATATCATTCCAGCGTGCAATGAACGTACAGTGTAACACAGTCAGACGTGGCGAATGAAAATTAAAAACAGAGCAAAATTAACAACATAATCTAGTTATTTAATTAAAAATACATTGTGAAATGACAAAATCTGTGGTTACTTGAACCCACAGATGACCGTTATTACATTTGGCGATACATTAAGTTTACATGTTTGCGTTGCGGACAAATTCACCCTTACAGGTGCTATAGGCTTGACCATTTAAGGTCACTCATTCAGAAGGATACGTTATACGGCATATTATTCATAGAAATAGGAGACTTATTTCAACAGGTTGGAGAAAACAGGCCAAAGTATGGAGTTAAATGGACCAAGGATTGTATAAACAAAGGTGATTCGAAAGAGCTGAAAGTGTAGGGTCATTTGTATTTGTTTTTGATGACAACTGGCTTATTTTAATCAAAGTTAGTGTGGCTCGTTTTCATATTCTAGACACTCAACAAATTATTCAAAACGTTTTGGCGCCTTGACTGAAAACCAAGAGAATTCAGGCATTCGGAAGTCCCTACAATTAGGGTTGCTTGTGAATGGTAGGAGTGAGGCTACTGTGAATACCTCTGACATTATTGCTTTTTCACTTTTTGATGCGTTATGTTGATGGCAAACACAGATCTGAAACTGAAGTTGAGGACTTCAGAACAATCCACACTGAACCCTGCAGTTTGTTTAGTTCTTGCATATCACGAAAAAGTGAAATTAGACTGAAGTGAGCACATGTGAGGTGATATCTGCCACATCCCTTTGACCTATCAATTCGTTGAAGGAAACAATTGTCATGAAGTATATAGAAATCCGAAATCTTTCTGGTAGTTCATGCTTCGGATATAATTATAAGTAACATTTGATAAAGGGATGCAAACAGGAATATATTTGTCTTTTTTATTACAGATCTACTCAGCGTTGATATAACATGTATTAAACAAACGGCTTACTATGTTCAAGAAGGTGAGTGTATCTTGATATATTGTGCAACTCTAATTTATACTATTTTATAAACTGTCCGACAATCGCTTTATTTCTGTTTCAGTATTTCAGCGGAAAATCTTGAGACTTAGGAGAGGTAAGATATTTTGTATACTGTTCACTGTTTCTGCTCAACAAATACTTTAAACACCTCGATTTCAAGGTAAGACGTTCTTGGCCTCGATAAGCGAATTAGCGCCATGGATGGTGTAATTGCAGAGTGGGAGAAGTTTGAAAATTCTAAGAAATATGAAGAAGCATACTCTGTAGTATCCAATGCAATAATTGATAACAAGGATCCCGAACTGTACTGGAGGAAGGCTCGTAGCTGCAGAAATCTAGGTAATCTTTCCAAGTCTTTTAAGCCAATATCAGCTAACTCACTGGGTAAAAACGATAAACAAGTGTATAAAAAGTACATCGAAGAAGGTCTTTCAGCTTGTGACGAAGGGCTCCGAATAGATTCAGAAAATTCTAAGTGCAACTCCGTACGTTTCATATCCGATTAACTTAATAATATATATATTGGAACCGCTACAGTGGTACGCAATATTTCTAAACTTATCATCAGAAATTGAGGGAATAAATAAGCGGATAGAAAATTCTTTTAAGATGAAGGACCATTGGATGGTAATTCTGTTTTACGAAGTTTATCTTTCAGAAAGCCATAAAAGCAAATCCTGACGACGTTGTTACATTGCACGCTCTTGGGAGATGGTTAGTAATACATCATATTTCATAACATTTTCATAGGTGTTTCGAGGTTACAGATCTACCATGGATAAAGCGAAAGCTTGCCGCTACCTTTTTCGGTGAACCACCTACGTCTACCTACGAAGAAGTAAGTTTAGTGGCTAATGCGAATAACACTATAGGCTCTTAACTATCTCCTTGATTCAGAAAAAAGTAATTTGTGTTCTTTATATGCAATAAGTTTTTTATAGAGTCTCCTGGAACTATCGTAAAAAATTCTCTTTATATAGCAAAGACGTACCACAGGTTAAAGAATTATGATCTGGCTAAGCATTATTGTCATAAAGTGTTAGAATTTACGGAAGATGACTTGGATACTGAAGAGGTAATCAGATGCTTTTTGTTACCTAACTGAGAAACTTAGGCAAAGAAGGAGGCGTCTGAGCTGTTAAAGAAACTGTAAAGTGTTTTCTTATCCCTTCAATTAATTGACAAGATATCGTAATAGCTTATATTTTTCTTGACATCGAGTTTTTAAATCAATTTTTAGTATCATCTGTAATGTATGTTGGTGTTTTTGGCAATATTATGGTAACACTTTCATTCATCCTCCCTGAAATTTGTTAGCTGTTTTGTTGGTTGAATTGATTTGTATTGTTGGTTTAAATCTTCCCAATGATGTTTAAGACTTAAACTAATGTAGGTAACTCCAACTGACGAGTCCCGAATAGAATAAAGCGCGCTCCCTGAATCCCAATGATGGCCACCATCTATTCCAGCTTATAATGTCTTAATGAAGGTTTTTCTTGATATCCTGATGCAAATCAGTCTTGTTTAATGTTAAAAATTACTTGATCTGTTTATCTCGTATAATTACTGCTAATTATTCTTGTTAGTACTCAATTCCATAAGATAACGATACAGTCGTCTAAACCGATGTGAATTTTTGGCTTGAACATATCCTACAATCTGTAGGACGTTTGATTTCTTCACTAAACCGTATGTGGACGCCAGTATATGAAATGAAAATGCACAAAATTCTTTACATTTACCTGTGTTTCGATTAAAGAGTTCACCAGCTTGTAAAAGCATGTGTGTCTCACTCACTGTCTTTTATATTAACTCATTTTGTGATCTGTACTTATTCAGTTTTCATTTTAACCAATTCCAATTCATCTACTTCAGATTTGACAACTGGCTAGTATCAATACTTTTCAGAAGATAAGACTTGTGACCCGAACTTGAGTAAATCCACTATGCTGAACGGGTTACGTAATGGCATTCATACGTACATAATGCAATCAGGATATTCACAGTGTTCAAGAAAGTCTATGCATCACATGCTCCCAGGCACTTTCTATGTTTTAAATTAGGTTTTGGAGTAATAACCAGGCAAAATTCATATAATTATTCATTAATTAAGGTCACTAAACCATGTTTTACGTATCCTATAAAGGTGTATATGTAAAATTAGTTCTACGGGATTTAAAACTAAGTAACGACTCCTCTGGAGTATAACTTGGGTGTTGAACCGACTCGTGTAATAGAAAAGTATTCATTACTTAACAGAAATAACCATTACAAACATATAAAAGTGCCATTGAGTCAATATGAAAGACAAGGCTCCAGGCCTTTTTACCTGTAAATATTACCGTAATAAATACATAATTTCCATGAAAATTTTTCAAAAACTAAAATTTTATAAAGTTTTTGCACCGACGTTTTGCCGTTTGAGTTTTAAGACTAGATATTAAGTGATAAGTTTAAGTGAACTGAGAATTAAGTAAACTATTGGTACTTATTGACGTATTTCCATCTTACGTTATTTCATTCTGTTCGATACACACAAATTCTTGTAAGTCTAGGCACTAGAAAATAGTATATACCACACAAGATATCCTGTTGTTAAAAAGTGAAAGGAAAGGAAGTACAGTCGTTCAAAAAAAACCTGTCGAGTTCTGTGTTAGACACATTCGTAAATTTGACAGTTCAGCAGCTTATTGAGACCGCTTATACAACGGAACTTTGAACCGACACAGACTCATATTAAGAGACAAGTTGATGTGCGAAGTATCGAAGTCTTGTGGAAAATGTTTTGTTTAAAATATACAGCGTCTGACAGCATTTAGTTAACCTGAAAGAAAAGGTTATTATAAAATTAGTAAAGTCTTTCCACTGCGAAAGTGAGTTCACTGCATAGCTATCTTTTATTTTAAAATGGAAGTATGTTTACAAATTAAGTTTCATTTATTGCTTTTTATACGGAATTCTTCAGTCCTATGTAATTAACATCCCGTTTATTATAGAATGTTAAATCCCTGTGAAAACGTATGGCATGACTTATATACCTAAGGAAGTCGAAAATTCTCCAGTAGGTCAAATAAATTATCTTTAGCCCAAGATGTTTAGCATTTGAGAATGTTTCTTTTGCTTTGATAGGACAATTCAGGGAAGTTTCAGTGCTTGTTTTAAGAATAAATGCCCGTTTTCTTAACTCGACTGAAGTGTTCAGTAGTCTCAGTTAGGATGAAATTTGAACTACTGATTAATATTAGAAATCTGATTTTTAGCAAATGACCATCTACTCTCCCTAATTAATCATGTAGTCATCGATAAAAGATGTTTGTTTTTAGTAAACGTATACAATAATGAATATGATTAGAAGTTTGGTACAAGCTGTTTTCTTACATTTGTCATTGTACAAATTTTACATTCTCTTAATGTGGTTTATATGCAACTAGAGAGCATTTAAAGCAAATATTCTAACTTTATTGGCGTTTCAAATGTTTCGATTAAATCTAATGTAATATTGATGTAAGTAATTTCGAGAAGCTGAAATAAATATTTTTGCCAATCGATTGTACAGCTCAAGAATAAATTACAATCTAAATTTTATTATACCAGAAAATGTTTTTCCTATGAAGCGTTCAGATATGTTTGTGTATAAATGTGATTGTTTATGAAAGTTCAGAAATGTCGAAGCGTTTGAATGGAATGCCAAATAATAAAAAGAATGTATTTACCGTATGTTGCATCAGCCTTACTGTATTGTTCATCCTAGTGATCAACGATGCATGCTAACCAATTCAATAATGTATTTGCAGAAGCCAGTTAAACATATTTTTGTTAAGTTAATCAATACAGTATGTTCTATGTGACTGTAGTTATTAGAAAAGTAATAAATCGCTGTTCTATTGATGCACGAAGATAATGTTTGTTACCTGTTAAATATTTACATTAGTGAAAAATACGAAGCAGAATCGTTTAACAGAAATAATCTCATCAACTTAGTTATTAACAAGAATTTTAAATATCAGGTGTCATATATAAATCACATTCCTAAAATATTTCCATCGATAAACTCAGCATCTCTGCAGTAATACAATATTAGGATAGTCGTTAGATTAATCGCTGAAGTATTTTTGAGAAAATATCTACAAATTGCTTGGAAGTTCACTTCAGTGTACGAATGCCATTATAAGACAGCAAACGGAGTTATTTTTGGTAATGTGTATATCTTGTTGTGCACTACAAAGCAACAGAGTGATTTACTGTAGTGACTCGTTTAAACAAAGCGTAATGGATGAAATATCCTCAAGTGGAAATTTGTAGCTCAGATGGATGGTTTTGTTCTCTAAGCTAGATCTAGCCTGTGGAAACCTAGTGCTTATCAGCGGGACGTTTGGCAAAGACCCAAGCAACTTTATTCGCCATTCCTTCGGCGTCATGTGATTGCACCCAATCCTCATCTATACTTTTTGATAGGTCGGTAGCTAGCCTTGAACCTATCTCTGTTCGATATTTATTCTCAATAGAAGCTGCAACCACTTTGCTGATACCATTCCGTTAAGAGCGATAAACTTGTTAGCCACTGAAACGCAAGGTAAGATTAACACAAACAAGGTCATAGTTAAAGTCTAGATTCGTACTACAAAGGAGTGGCAGTTTTGCAGAGAACCATACCAGCGGTAGCTGATAGCTATGTGAACAATCTGAGTTCAGGTTTTAGGTGCAGATGAAGGACGCCAAGTAGCACATCGTCGACTACTGTGTCGACAGTTAGCGCTTGTCAGAAACAGGCTTCAGTCTGTGCAAAGTTTCAGTTTCTGGCCTGGAACCAGCAAGTCTCCATTGGCCATTCAAACCACTCTTCTCTGTGTCTAGTCACCTGACCTGTACATTCAGGTCTCCGGCTAGTACTAAAATGTCTGTCGAACGCGCTTTCTGTAAAATACTTAACTGATGATTAAACTCATTCACACTGCTGTTTGTCGAAGCATAGGCAGAGATGACGAAAAGATATCGTTTCTCACACCAATTTGTTCTCACTTTGATGGAACTTCCTAATCTAACAGCACAAAGCCGACTTGATAGGGATCCAATCGATGAGTTCCACCTCAGCCCTAGTGCGACATCAACGCCAAACGAAGATTTCTCAGAGTCCTCGGGAAAAAATACCTGCGAAACAAGCTTTTCGAAGTGAGAGAAAATTTGTAGCACTTCACTAAAGTCTTAAATGTGGATCTCATATAGACATTGATTTTAAGACCCTCTAAAGATATGGCCAACCCTATCTGTTGCTCGATCTGTATTACTGTGTGAACGTTGAAGAAGGTCAATTTGAATGGCATACGAGATTTAACAAATGGTTGGTTCAAAATTCTTATTCGGTCGTAGTATTTAGCTTTCGACCAGTAGGTGACTCTAGATCGTTTAGGCAGAACAGGTTTTCCATCACGGGCGAGCTGCTAAAGCAGTTGAAGAATAAGAGAATGTGCAAAATTGGAATAAGCGAGTAGACAAGTGATGCAAAGTAAAATAAAAACGAGTATTAATAAGTAGTTTTGAGTGTGATTTGTGAGAATGAGAATTGAGACGTGAATAGTTTTTCCAATTGTAGTCATCATTTGGTTTATTTATGGGCTGAGACACTGTCCGGGTGCTCAAACTGAAAAAGGTGGTTTCCTTAGGGAGCCGATCTCCAAACCTTTTACATAGAAGTGTAATCCACAAGGCAGTGAGTCAACGCTAGGAGATGCCGTCTGATCGTAGCCGGTGACCAACAACAGGTTCATACACCGATTGTTTTGTCAGGATCCCGGAATCCATGTGCACCATTAGCTTAGACCCAGGGTTCTTAAATACCCATGGTGAATTTTCCGTATCCGCCATGTTGGTTAGAGCATCGGGCATTCACTTTTCATACTCTCGATTTCGTAAACAAGGCAGTGGGTATGACGTCCTTGGCAGTGGCTGTACACTCGTAGCCGTATGAGAGAATTTCATAGGGGAGAGCGTACTCTCTCCACTGTCGGTCATACCAGGGAATTTACGTATTTCTAAAATATTCGCTGTGTTTTTCAAAACTAAGATTTAATAGTTTAACTGTTTTATTCATTAGTAATTATTGCTGAATTCAACCATGTGACATTCTCATTCGACCCGAGTGAAGTCACAAAACATCTCTAATAATAAACGTCCTTATGAGTCCGACTAAACAATCATTTTTCGTGATCATATTTATGGAATATTTGGATCTACGCGTTACATGTCTTATGGACGAAACTAATTTTATTGACGAATTGCTTGTTTTTTTCCTTACACCTTATTCTAATAAGTAGATATAAATCCATATGACGTAATTTGCTCAGTGTTGAGTTTCTTAGTCAATAATAATAGTAATAATAAATATATTAAAACATAAAGTTATATAAATCACCCATTTTATTTAACCCATGTACTGACAAAG